TCCTTCTCGCGGCCTGTCGTTGTTTGAGTTCCTGCAGTTTCTGGTCAACATGGCCTCCAACATATGGCATGATATAGCTTCATCTGAAAACGCATCTAACTTCATCGAAAGGCAAGTCCTTGTTCATTTATTGCCGTGATATATATTGTGATATTGGACAAACATTCATCTCATACATCACAATAGCTGTTTGCACGTTGTGTTTGCTTTGCGCCTTCTGACGTTCAGCGTTGTTGCCCGAAGCTTTCCAAGGCTTTATTTAACTAGATTCCAAGAGGATGCAGCGAGTCACAGCGCGCTGAAACGGCCTACGCAAAAAATCTACGTTGACTGACTCGGCATGGAGGAACAGGAGAACAGGCCCGTCGGAACCAGGGGGGCTGGAGGCCCCCAATAATTGTCAAACCAAACTGTAGTATGTTTCCTTTATAACAGTGTAATGAATGAGAAGGAAAACAATTGGTATTCCCCCCCCCCTAATATGAATTTCGTCCTGACGGCACTGGACAATATTTGGGAGTAAAAAAGCCATTCATTCTAAATGTCACCACAAAGTACAAATACTATTATCCTTCAATGCGTTGAAAATATTCAATTTATTTGTCCATCATTCTTACTATCAAAATCACAAGTAAACGTTTTGGTCAGAACAAAAAGTCATTATATAAAAAAGGCACTGGTTCTCTAGTTCTCGAAGAGCGTCAATGCTATTAGGTCTCTACATGAAGTACTTGGTCTATGAATAGAACGTCGGTATCCAATACCTCCCTTCTGGCATCCCTACGCTTTGGAAACGAATGTCATGTATAGTGATAACGCATAGAAATTATGTTAAGTGCGCATGTTCTTTGACCCAAAGAAAGGGGGTTGCCTCACTCACAAGGTTATGCTCACTCTATCGGTTAGGTGACAACGGAGCTGAGCTTTTTATGAACCAAGATTAGATAGATCAAAAAATGATCAAGGGTTGATCAAGCTTGTCAAGTTCTTGACGTTTTCAAAAGTATGATAAATCTATAGCTAATCTACGAGAGGTCTTCATAAATCTTTTATATGAAAATCAAGATAAAGTTTGTTTATTTCAAACTTAAAGGAATATTTCTCAATGCTAGAAGATTTTCTGAGCTTGATATATCGTTGAAGGAATGCATTAAATCCAAATTTGTTGGCGTGTGACCTTCATTGGTGTTGCTTTTTAATGGAAAAATGTAATGGTAGATGTAGCAATGAAATCTTGCAGAAATCTTGCAGAAAGATGGTCTTCGGTTTTATAAAAAGTGCATTATTTCAAACATTTCCCGGATTCTCATTATCCCATATTTCTGCCGATCCCATTATTGCAAATTAAACCTCTTCTCGATACAATAGAAAAGTCACCGAGTGAAGAATAACACAGAAATAAAGGCACCAAAAAGAAATTTCTTCAGTAGAACTATTTCAAATATAAGGAAATGAGCCCATTATTGACGAAACTCTGTACATGAACAGATAGCTACAAATGAACATATAAAGCACATGTAGCTAGCAAATTTGTCCATTGCAGCATTGTCTGAAAGCAGCATCGTATAGCTGTCTACCACAACATGCAGGACGAATGCCAGACCTTGAATGTACAACACCTTGGCAACAAATGCTGAATTTGGCATCATAATTCCTAGTTCCACAGCATCTAGGCTCAATGCCTGACCTCGATTGTATGGTCCAAGAGCAGCACAGGTTAAATTTGGCATCATATGCTTTTGTTCCACAGCAGGCAGGTGAAATACCAGTCTTAGAATTCACAACACCCCAACAGCATAGCTGAAAGGTCGGGTCGTATGTTCTATGGCCACAGATGCTGCTCCCAAAGGCTCGTTTGTTTCGAACAGACCCTGAAACATAAAGAAGAAGCATCCTTAATAAAAAGAACAGAAGAGGTCCCATGTAGGAACACTGAGGAACACTTTGTTCTTGTGGATGCAAAATTAATGCCTTCAATACCTAAAAATATTATTTGCAGCATTTGGAAACATAAAGTTCTGGAACTATATAATGATATTAGATAATTGCCCATTTTTTAACTGTTTAATGCGAACATGCAGAATTCACCTTAATGTGTACGCTGTGCAGTTCAAATACAGTGTGCAGTTCAAAAACTGAGATTTCATAAACAACAAATTGTTTTTTCTCACCATTTGCTTTCGTCAAAAACACAGAAATCAATACGAGCAAAACTGCGAACAGCTTCAATGCAGCCATCTCGAGGCTTTTGACACACAACTTCTTCCTGGATGTAGTTATCCTGATTTTCTAGAATCAAATGCAGCTGTTGATTTGAAAAAAGTTTTAAATATTTGATCATTATTTACTTTGGCAACGAAAATGACTGTTTTTTATTGACTAAGATGATTGCTCTGAAAACATTGTAGTCAGAAATTCGAGGATAGTGAAACAACATTTCTCAGAAGCCTGGTATCCCATTTATTTATGCTTCGAAATAATTCATAAGTGCCATGCGGTTTCAAGTGTATTTTCCCTGTTTTGAAAACAGATTTCGAGAAAGCAATGGCACATTGGGGCCACAGATCTAAAAAAGCTAACAAAACTAGACATTTTCTTTGTCCCAAAATAGAACAGAAAACGGGTTAAAAAAATTGCTTACTGTAAGCTTGTCCATCCTTTGGTTTCTTACTCTTTAAGTTCCACCATCAATACTAGATATACCTTGGCACTGAAGCGACCTGATTTGAAATTTCCCATCAATATTCCTATTAGCTGATCACTGTGGAAAAATCTATATACATGGCATTCACTTTAATTGGAAACCTTCTCTAAGCAACCCAGTTCCAAGATGACAAAATATCAAGAAACCATTTATGCTCATCTTAAATTTTCAAAAAATTCTTGAAAATCAATCTTTCTAGGGTGGGATTGAAATTGTACATTTCAATGACTTGGTCCCTATTTCTGTTCAATTGACATAGATAATAGAAAAACGCTCATAGCAAAAAATTGATGCTTTATTTCGCCGTTGTTATAAAAAGTAGTTTGCTAGCCTTTGGTACTGAAATCAACAAAAAATTAAGAAAATGAGCAATATAGTCTCGAGTTTATTCTCACTATTTAGTCTCGAGCAAAAGTCGAGATTAGTTTCAAACGTATTGCCCCTCGTTGATAAAATCTCGTAGACTAGGGGGAAATGTAATGGAAGACAACGAGATTTAGGTAAAGGTTCAGATTAAATACTGTAAGAGAAAGAAACGCAGGATATGCCGTCCGCCGGATTCTGTGAATATTGCAATAACAATAAAAATAATAATCAGGAACAAAGCAACACGACGAAGAGAACCAATTATAGTCAAAGAGAATATTAAAATAAGAATATTTCACCCCGGCACACAGGGCTTCATCAGAGTAAAAAAGGAAAATAAAGATCAAATTAAAGACCTGCTTTTTTCTTCGTTTTCTGCAGAAAAATTTTGTCCAAAGAAAGGTTGAAGAATTATCTGGGTTATGCTAGGGTTCTAAGAAAAAGCCCCATTTCTTGCGCTTTAACAAGCTGCTAGGAGCTTTACATACATTCAGCCTTTCTGAGGAAAATTTGAACAAGCTTCCGAATATCGCAGGGCCTATTTCAGTGTGGTTTTTCCCACATTTTGTGGTCTTGGAAATGCAAAATGTTGACAGAACTTTGAAACTTTATAACATAACAGAACAATAAATGGACTCCCCCATTATTAATTTTTCAAAAATCCTATAGCCCCCCGCTCTTCTTAGGACCCCCCGTTTTTTAAATTTTTGGCTTAGCGTGTCCTTCAATATCAAAATAAGTATGAATAATAGAGCTTCTAGCAAAGTTAACCTTTAACTACTGCTACTGTCGGAGTCCATAAAGAACAGGCTATAATAGAAACATTTATGTAATCGTGTCATGTTGAATATTTTCGTTTTACACGAATAAAGAAAATTTGTCTTGGAAAATTTCCATAAAATAGGCCCTGGAATATCGGAACTAGAGCACTCATTTTAATGCATTCAGCCCACTCATTTGAATCGCAGGAGGTCTTCTTCATATCATAAGACAAAAAGTTGCCCGCGAAAAATGGCAAAAAAGCGATGATACGACAGAACCCGGAAGTGGTAACAGGTTTGAAAAAACTTCTTTCAATTTTCAGCTTTCAAACTTTCTGGCTTATTGATCAGAGGAAGGTGTGACTCTCTTATGTTGAATCAATTACAAAGCCCCTCGCTCGCAGACAGTGAGACAACTTGATAAAATTTGTGAAATATGACGTTATTCATAAAACAGATCTTCGTCATTTTCACCTTTACAAAGGATCAAAGCCATACATCGAACAGATTAGCTTTCTTGTTGCTTCTGACCACGTTCCACTCGCAACACTTGTCGTCTTCAGGCTTCTTTAAATCTGCAAGATTTTGGTAAGCCATTTTTAGGCTCCCAAAACCTTACTTACCTCTTTCAAACAACATCTAAAATTTTCAAGAGGAAAAGTTTTGCGTGAGTCTTTTAAACTGTTAAAAATGCCTGACATGGCTAAGAACGAGAACCCCCGTTGTCCCGTTGCAGGTAAGTGCACTTGTTTTTTGAGCGACCCCGGAACAGAATCGGATAAGGCAAGGTGACATAAAAACGCTGTTTGCGAAAACTTGCTATTGTCAGCAAAATAATGTCAACTATTAACATTTATTTTGCAACTATCATTGGCAAAAAATTATGCAAAAATTGACTGCAATTGTACTGTAGAGGTTTCAAGGTTGCTGGCAAATGGGCTGACTGGAAAGGTAGTGGCAATAACAGTCTCCTTTTAACAGCTTGAGCCCCACACTTTCCAAAGTCTAATCATAGAATAATCTGTGATTTAATGCTCAAATATTGAAACTAAGACGAACAAAATACTGAGAAACCTATCATTTATGTAACAGAGAATTTCGGTACAAGACACAGTTAAGCGATGCTGAGTGAGGAGAGAATGACAGCTGGCCAAGAAGAAACAGCAGCATTACATATAACATCATGTATTCAGCAGGGAAACATGCACGCTACTGGTTTAAAAAGTAACTACGTTTATTAAATACCTATTTTGGTTATCATTTGATATAAATCACTGCAATTGATTGCTTATTACCAACAGAGCGTAGGTTAGGAAATATACATACAAAAGGTAACATCCATTCGCCTATGCGAGCTAATAAATTAACCCTTTTTATAAGATGACAGGATCAACTTCGCCTAATGTCAGATCTAAAGTTTGTCAGTTCGTCTGAAAAGCAAGAGGTTGAACACACCGGAACCTCTCAGCTTTGCTTTCATTTGATTTCTAATCGCCACCAACAACCCCCCTCCCCCAAACAAAAATTTGCCCCATGTTATTACTACAATCAAAACCTTTCTTTAACTGCAGAACATTCTCCTCATTCCTCTGATCGCTAAATATTGACACATTCCTACTCCAAACAGATTACTAAAAAACGACATCAGCTCACAAATTTACAAGTCTGAAATAGTGAAGAGCTCATTTTATTAGCCCAAAAATCCAGGCTCTAACTTATATTATTAAAATATAATAAGAACAGATCAAGCAGGCAAATTCAAAGCTTCTTGAATCTAACACATCGTTAACCGCAACAATGATTTTGTACACTAATAAAAATGATGTCGAGAATAGAACAAACGCGATACAATAGTAAACAAAATGTCAACCAAAAAATAATGATATCCTTTTTACCTTCGTCCTTTTTTATAATCATATCTATCATAAGTGTTCCTGTAATCGCGATCAGAATACCTTTCATCCCTTCCCTTTTCCCGTCTTTTCTCTTTGATCTTATCGCGTCTGTCTCTACTTCTACTTCGGGAACGACTCTTGCTTCGATCCTGATATCTTTTGTCATAATTATAACCCCGGTAGCCATTTTCCTTATCCAGCCTTGACCTCGGTCTGCTATCAGACTCGTTTCGGCGATCTTTTGATCTCTTTCTGTGTCGATCATCATCTGATTCCCCACTACTGTGACTACGAGGGCGCGTTTCCTTTTTGTATTTTCGTTTGCGTTCGGGCGATGGCGACTCTGACTCAGAATCATTCGAACTGAACGACTCATCTTTTGTGACATTTTTACGACGAGGAGAATTCGATGATTTTCGACTATACTTTTCATCTTTAGCATGCTTTTTATTTGACCTAAAATACAATCAAAACGCTTTGTTTATTTCTATTGGTTACAGCATCTCTGCGTTTTCTAAACCTCTTTTACGAACCATTTTCTACTGAAGATCATTTATTTCGTTTCGCAGGGCTATTTTGAACTTCCTGGTTTCTTTCTTGATGTACATCAGCGTGTATATTTGAGAAAACGTTGAGCAACTGGATGCTCCGTGCGAGTTTCCTTGCAGCTACAAGTCTCGTATGCAACTCCAAATAAAATATACATCTAATCAACTTTTCGCTGCCAACTGGAAAACGTGAACATGGGCTATTGTACTACCCAACCAATGGTAATTTAAATGGCCATAGAAATTCGTCGGTATAAAGTGCCTTAAAATTGCTTCAAATTAGTGGCCATTTCCTTTTCTACTTTGCGTATAGGAAGCTATGAAAAAGAAAACATTAACTATACATATTAAATATACCTTTTTGAATCACTGGGATTGTTCCTGGTTTTGCCTTGGTCTGTTGTTTTATCCGAAGGTGATGCTTTGGCTGGAGAAGCTGAAAAATTCAATGAAATGTGGTAATCTTTTGTGATGAAAATGCAACAACAAATATCAGTTGAGAGAACTCTTTAACGTTGAAGCCTAGATAACATGGCGGTGCCACGGTCAATGACAGTAACGAAGGCTGATAAGAAGATAAGAAATGAAAGTGCCGCCCCCTAACCCTGCCTTGCTCTCATTGTAATATCCGGAGAGTGTTACCAGAGTGTTAAAGTTTCTGTCCAGAGGAAGGTAAAATAATTTTCCTGGAAACTGTATTTGATTCAAAACTATCAACTTGTTTACAAAATGACAAACTTTGACAAATTTAAATATATTGAATAGTAACAAGTTTACCACCTACATAACCGATTGACAGGTGATTGATACCAATGAATATGGAAAGAGGTTAGAAAGGAAATTTTTTAAGTTAGCCCTGAATTAAGACGATGCACACATACTTATGTTCACTATAAAGAGCTGAATAGCAGAAAAAGACGAATACCTGTTTTGCTGCTTGGTTTCGTGGGCAAATTGTTGTTAGAAGCTATATTTGGAGACGTATGCGCGGGAGTAAAAGAACCGGGTGTCCCGTCACCGCCATTCTCTTTCGCTACATCCTTCTTGTCCTGAAAAAGAGGGTAATTTTGCTAAATTTCTCTTAATTTTGATAAAGTTTAGAGGAAAACATATTCGTCACTAAATATATCAGAATCTACTTTTAATAACAAAGCTTATTATACCTGTAGTAATTTCTTAGCGTTTTCAATTGCCTCATCCAGTTTATTCATTCGAACCTGCAAAGAAGATGAAACCGGGGGGTCAAACAGGGTAGATCTACATCAAAAACAACACGGGAAATTAGACTTTTTCATTAAATGAATAACATAGTCATCATCGTGTGAAGCCCAACACAAGCAAAACGGGCCGAGTCACCAACAGATTTAGCGTTTGCCTACTTAAATGATTTCATTGTCTATACGTCACCAAATACATTTATATGCGCGTGTGAATTAACGTTCATCACATAAATTAACGTTCTAAAAAAGAATATAGTACACTTTCATATGTACAAACCTTAGGCCTAGCATACAATTTCAGCAAAGTGAGAGAGATTTCTTCGACATCATCATATGTTGAATCAAAGAGTTCCCACCATGGGGGCCGCTGGGGCAAAGAAATCTAAAAACAAAAATTTAGGCCCATAACATCACTGATGGCATGAATGAGAAAGAAGCAATTGTAAACATTTTAGCAATTAGCCTCCCTGAAATCCTTGCATGTGGAGTTATAACCATTAATAAATAACTTAGATTCGCCTGAATGACTCACCTTAAGCGATCTAGCTGCAAGGAAAATACACGCGCATCCAATTGTCTCTGGCGGAAATCGAAGGAAGACGTCAGTTCGCAGACTGTCGTTCATATAGTTCCTGAAAACGAGGTTGCATGGAATCAGCATATGCTTGAATCACGATGTTTTGATTAGCAAGAGAAATAATTATGACTGTATGGCCATAGACCCTGAGGCAGTGTACTGAAAAACTGACCATACCATACAGAAAGAGGATTTTTCTTATGGAAAGTAAAAATAACTGGACAGTACCCCATGAATGAAAACCGACAGCTTGGTACAAAACATTGGATTCTACTTGCTTGGGAATAAGCAACTAAGCTCAAGATAAGGGACAACAGTTGTTATCAGATCAATAAAATTTCCAGGAGCCCGAAATAGATGAGCTAGCATCAAAGCCACTGCATGACATCGTATTCAAAAACGGTAGATCGTCAACCTTGAAATGTTACTTGATAAATGATTGTTAAGAGGAAGATGCAATGTTGCTATGTCAATGTTGCTATATAAACAAGGACAGTTTGTTGTTCAACACGTTACTGACCATGCTTTCTGCGCCAGTGCAGCGTTTTTTTCGTGTTCTAAAATTTGCAGATATGTTATGATGACCTAAGGAAAAAAATAAAATTTTATTGAAGTGAATTTACAAAGGGATCAACAAATAAAAGCACGATAGAAGGTATAAAGGAAATGATGCAACAAAAAAATGCATTGATGAATGGATGCAAGAATGAATTCACGAATGGATGAATAAAAATAAAATGACTCTAATAAGCAAAAATATATGACTGACCTTATGTGGGTGCTTGACATGTACACAGAAACCAAGTTCCTAAAAAGTAACCAGCTTTGTATCAAATTACAGCATGGCAACACATGTGCTTTTAACCGTAATCCACTTACCATTCTTCCAGACAACAAGACGATTAGGGAGGGGTCTTCGGAAGATGGAATTTATATGAGAGAAAGAAGGCCTATCTTGGAAGGGAAAGCATTTTGCTTACGATAGAAGAAGGTTCTTACTGACAGGTGTGTGGAAAGAACAGAAATGGGAACCTGACTTTCCTGGGATAGAAAGATAGGGAAAGTTTGGGAAGGATGTTATTCGGTAAGAAAGGATAACTACTGAAAGGCTGGTGGGTGACACATCAGCCAATGGGAGTTTAGTTTTAGAAAAGGCAAGCTTCAATACGTTTTTAAGGATCTATTATCTAAGGTATATATAATCATGCTCGCTCACCTTGAGGACACGCCGTTCAGCTTTAATGACATTGTTCTTCATTGCAAAGTATGCATTACTGAAATAGTCCATCGGAGTGACTGTCCTGTATTGAGAGGTGATAGCATAGTTGATGGATATGCAAAAATCGTCAAAAATGACTATATATGAAGGACTTTAGTTGGGAGAGACAATCAGTCATTGGAAAGTGAAGCTAACAAAGAGTAGAAATCCCTCACTGGTAGAACGATTTCAATAAATATGTTCAGCAAACGGGTAGCAGGGTACAAAAATTTAAAAACTCAGAAAAATAAAGAACAATAAAGGTGTTGATACACTCAGAATTCTAACTAGGAGAAGAGAAAAATAAAAAATTTCCCCGTGTAGGAAATAAAATAAGGGAAACAAAAAACAAAGATGTACCAAAAAATAAGTAAACAAAAGGAGGTTACGTAGACATAAAACAAGCCTGCCAAGCTCAGAGTGAAAAGAAAAGTGGCCTGAATGGAAGAAATGTAACTCAATTTTTGATCGAGATGTGAATTTGGACCGAATCGGGATGGTTCTTAAATTTTCATGCAATGAAACGGGCCAAAGAGAAGAGCTTTTTAAGAAATATTTATTAGTGACATCTTGTTGAATTAGTTAACTAAACCAAGAATAGTTTGGGTTTGAGACATAATCGTGATCAACTAAGTCAAGCATCCTGGAAACATTTGGTTTCATAACTCAGGTTTCTTTGAGTTATGATCAACATCCCTTCTGTTGAAAAACAGTTAATGTCAAGCACCAATCTTGAATCTTGATCATACTATCCCTTCTACTAAGGACGTAAGCAAGCATTATTCTTCACATTGCAGAGGTCTTGTGGTGTCTTCATATTGCAAAAATCAAGGCAATGGTCTTCATCAGTATCACTTTGCATGTTATCTTTATCCTCCTGCAAAATCTTTAGGGAAGAACTGCAATATGAAAAGTATTGTCTCTTTTAATATTATCAAATGTTCCAAAGTGAATGTGTTAAGTTACAAATGACTTATTCATCTTTCTCCTTTCTTCCAACAGACTTTGTTTCAGGAACACTTGAGCATATCTGATTTTGACTAAAGAAATCCGACCAAAAGCACCATCACAAATCACTTCATGGTTCGCTGTTAGTGTCATTTTGCAGCTGCCCTCACTCAAACCCTATTGTTTTTAGATCATGTTCCTTTATCTCAAGCTTTTTTCACCACTTTGCAATCTTCCCAAAAACTTAATTAAATTTCCATATAAATCCTGGCTGGTGCCTTCAATTCACAGCTTCCCATTTTGGCATTCTCTCCAAATTGATATAAGTGACTTTTGGCATCTTCTAAATGAAAATTTATCAGTTAATTGAAAATTAAACTTCTGCAACGTATTATGAATTTCTCTCTGCACCATTAATTCTGACAATTGGGATATAAAGTCCAATTTTATAGCATAAATCCTGCTTGAACTGCACAAAATCAAGAATCATGGATGGATCCTCCTGAGGTTTCTCAGCCCCCCCCCCCCTTCTCCAGTTCAATATTGACATCTGTTTTATTAAAATCCATACAATTTGAAGTGAAGGGGTGGGGGAGGGGTAGATTTAGGACTTTTCAATGTGCTACTAGGCAAGTGTTTGTAATTGTGCTTGTAATTGCAAGTTTAAAACAAAAGAAGAAGATTGATAATGTGAAATGGCCATGACGATTAAGTTAATGGCTTATGCTGAAAAACTCATTACCTTCGCTATAGATTGAGTGGGGAAAACCTCAAGTTTAACAAATCTTATTAACCAGGATAGGGTCACAGTTACAAAGCAAAGCTAAGAATGAAAAGCCAATGTAGCAACTAATGCTACAAACATGGGCATTAGAAAAATCAAACAAAGATGGCCTCTACAACGATATACATTGGGAGATGATGTAGTTGAGTTTGCTACCAAGCTGGTCGGACAAAAGTTCATTTTTAGTTTTGTTGAATTTGGACCACATAAGCTAAAGGAACATCATCAAGTAGCATTAGCTGTATGTAAACACGAAAAATCAGCTAACTCTATCAGAAATTCGCTGATATGTCTGCAAAAGCACAGGCCCCTTTAGGGTTCAATCACTGTAATTTGGTCTAGGTTGTAAATTCTTCAGATCATTTACTTTCCACATTTAAGCCAATTTGTAATACATTTAACAAATTTTGAACATTTGTAGGAACTCTAAGACCTTCTTTTAAACTTTGAGGTCTAAATTAACTAAAAGAAGCAGCTATTCTAGTGCATTTTAGCATTGGCATTTGAAAGTTTTAGCCAGATGCTTACCTATACAGTATAGATCAATACAATCGTCTAATTTGAAGCATGTGCTACAAAACACTGTCAAGAGACAAAGTTAACTATGACGCAATATATGGAGCTTAAAAGCCAACTCAACCCCCTGCTTGTGGTTCAAGGGATCAGAACTCATAATTGAAGCCACAGTCTAAAATCTGAGCAAAACAAATCTTTGCAATGCTAGAAACACAAATTATAATAACAGTTATCAATGCCTGACAGTCCAAAACCAAAAAAATCTTATTGGGCAATATTCAACTCATGTTTGAACTCTCTCTGAGAAACTCTGTGTTAGGACAGAGGCTCCATGCTATTTTTGCCACTGAAAAATTATATCGAAATAGAAAAAAAACTGAGCCCTCTGCATACTGCACATTCTCAAGTCTTTGAAAAGCAAGCCATTTGGATAGGGAGTTCATTGCCATTTCAAAACATTGGCAAATACCCTGACATCAAATGCCAACATCATACACACTAATAGAAAAGTTAATTCCAAGCCAGAAACGTGAAAACCGGAATAGGAGAATCTACAAAGGCCGGTTTCAAAGTTTGGCGGTACAACATCAGGAAAGGATGACCTAGAAGGACAAATGAAGTGAACAAGAAACAGAAACAAATGAAGCAAAGATAAACTTTAAACAAACACTCTTGATATGCTCTGTCTTGCATACCCAGTCACTCAGACCTTCTTGGAAAATAAAGGATAGGACATTCATTTCTGGCATAAGAGCTGAAGTATTCATTCTGCACAAAAGAGCTGAAGTTGTCCAATAAAAATTTGCAGTCTGACAGTTGATTTACTGCCTTCTATGCAGCCAAGGACGACAAAGGCTGAAAACAATATTTTACTGACATTATGAGTGTGGCCAAAATATATTTAAAGTTCACTACACAAACTAAAGCAGCATTTAAAAGTCAAGCTTGATTCCCCATCAAAAATTTTTGCCTTCAATCAACAAATGACAGACCTACTAAGGAATGAGAAGGTACAATGTGGATAGGCCTCTCGAACAACAAGCCTCTTATGAAACATCTGACACTATAGATGCATATTACTGAAAATTAATTTCTCTAGTTAGACATCCTTATTCTTGAAGCAGCAATCTGTTAAGTCCCCACTGCAATGCAAGAAACAAGGCAATACTGGTGACTGCTGGAAAAAAGCTTAGATTGTTGATAAAGGGGTGAAAGCTGACATACAACAGAATATGTCACATTACACAGCATTCATACTGTATATCTAATCAAAAATCATTTGACTAATCACAAAATGGCAGATTTTTCCCCTGACATGAAAGAAGATTAGTTAGACCCAAATAAAGCTAATCAGGGACAGAAGACCTTTTACATTTAACACAAAGATTTGCCTCACACATGCATGCATCAATCAATGAAACAAAAGGGTGTAGCACAACAGAGAGGAGAGCCAATACACCACAGCAAGACAGGATGAAAGTGCACAAATCAGTTCTGAAACAAGGCACTCACAATTTTTCCAAACTATTCCCTGAATCAGACACAAAATTAAACACAAAATTCCCAGGTTTATCCACGTTTCATCCTGACTATCTAAAAACATTCCACTTTCCAGGTGTTCCAGACTCTGTATCAACCAGGTTTACGAGTTTCAGACTTATTAACATTATCAGATCATCTATAGAATCCAAATGAAACTTGAAAAATAGCTCAGATTGAGGCTGGGAGGTTGCTTGCGTTACCTTTCCTGGTCCCACTAGCTATATTTTAAAAATTAACATGACAAAAATCTTCCTTCTGTGACAATATCTGAAAAAGACTAATAACAACTCCTTATCCTGATTGGCTCTAAGGAATAAGGGGAGAAATCTGCAGCTGAATGGTCCTTTGAAACTAATGTAACTAAATAGAGTCATGAAATGCAACTAAATTTCAAAGACTACTTGGTATCTGTACAAATCAAACTGGCTACCAAATAACACTGCATGTGGCTGCACAGTTCCAAATCCAAAAAAACAAACAGATTGCAAATAGGACTAGTAATTGAAGGACTTCCTGATTCATCAATTTTTCCATGCATGAGCTGAAAATGGCTCTATAATCAGTCTAAACCTCTAAATCAATCAACAGATATACTGCTAGATGCCAGATAGGTCGAGTGTTAAACATGTTGATGTGTAGAACAGGATAATCAGATGCTCAATATTGTAGTGCCGTCCATACTTTATGTGCCAGATTTATCAGTACTAGCTGGAAAAATTATTTTTTTCTGGTGTACTTTTGCCAAACAACAATCAGTGAAAAAGTATGGCTTTCTGACTTTGTTTGTATGGCATTCTACAAGGATTTAGTCAGCAGCAAAATAACCCTTGGCAGTGTGACATCCATGGTTTTGGCTGGAATTGAAGCCTCTGTGACATGGCTTGACTTGTTTGTGAATAGAATGTTCTGCTGATTTCTCTGGGTTCTCTCCATCCACATTTACTGCTGAGTGATCTTGAATTTTGACATCCATCAAAATCAGCCATAAAAATCACAAATCTGGCTCAACATTTACACTAGCCCATTGCAACTGTGGCTTTCAAGATTCTGAACAAATGTTACATTCATGATTTCCAGATAAGCTTTGCATTGTTGGGTTAAACAGCTCATATAGAACTGAAAAGACAGCCTTCTATCTACCTGTTGTGTTCAAAACAAGGTGTTTTGAAAAAAAGAATTCAGTGCATGATAAATCAGCACTCTTGCACTTGCATTGACTCTGCTCAAATCATTCAAAGCACTTGAAACTCTTTCCTTTCCCATGTTAACATATATCTGTCATCTGCAGTAATCCATTCTTGTTCAGTTTTAGTAGGAAGCTTTTGTTATATTTCTGTGGACTTTTTCCAAAAAGGATGAAATTATGTAGGGCTGTGTCTGGTAGCATGACAGCTTCTGGCCTTTCTGCAAGACTTCGTCGTTGCAACAGCAATAAAAATTCATTCTTAAAGAAAACACAAGAACTGCAAATGAGCTCTGTGTTTAATTATTGTTCATTCAACACTTTTTACTATATATGTTGGAAAACTGAAAGCAATAATTTGCAAATTTCACTTTGCAATTTTATCGGGAGTTGCTGGGAATGACTTTCGTATATCAAACCTGGTAACTGCTGAAATTTTGTATAGTACTAACAAATGAAGATTGCTATAGATATAGCTATTTAACGTTGAAGATGTTCTCTTTAAAATAAAATTATGGTATAATATATATAAATATATATATTATTCTATATATATGTATTGTATGCAAATTTAACAACAAGAAAATCCATACCTCACTTCTACCAAATATGAAAAATATTGTGAAACATCTGATGCAATCTTAACCAAAACATAAAATTTTAAAGGGCACAGTACCTTATGAATTGACAAACAACAGAAACTTCATACTAAATGGCAAGTAATGAGCAATCAATAGTTTTTTCAGGCCAAATGTGACTGCAATATGCTATCTAGAAATGTCAGTTAAAACGTGAAGTCCAGGAACTCATGAGCTTGGCAGTAAAACATAAAATTAACAACACAAGAGAAAGATTTACGAGAGAAAAAGTAAAGGTGAAACATATCAAGCCTTTTCCAGAATGTTTCATCATCAGTTTCATATTTAACAAGGGTAACCTCCAGCTGGATTTCTCATCCACCACATGTCGCCATGACTGCAATGCATTGAATGTCAGCTTGGCACATGAGTGGGGAGTTCATTTGTTTGTCTCCTTTCCAATGACTGAAATGGGCAATTAAGCAAACAAATCAATCTTTTGTCAAATGCCTTAGAGTTTTACACCTTAAAAGTAGTCAGGGGAAAGCTTTTTACAATTCCTTAAACATAACTGCCAAATTGATACATAATTAAACTGACTAAAAAACTTGTCAGCTTGAACTAAATCAATGAACTTTAAATCAAAGATTTACAAAAACATTACATTTATCTGTGAAGCTAACTATTGACTGACCTTTGCTTTAATATCCAACACCGTCAAACCAGAACATAGGGGAGGGGGTGCCTCAATCCTAACTCCAATACTTTGCCTTCATCAGAATATCAAATTTTGGGTATCATTACAACATACACAGCTTCAAGCACTTTAGATGATGCAATCCAATTACACTTGGAACGAGTTTGCACAAATATCCATACATTTTACCTTTGAACTAACAGCTAAAATATGCAAAGACATGAAACTCTCTAAATGCCTGCTTTATCAAGTTTATGTATTCTATTCTCTATCTCTGGCATTTATTCTGATATTAATGCGAGGTACTTGTATGAAAAACAGATGTCTGTGTGATTTAGTTACCTTCATTTCGGAAATACTTGCATCCAAGCAATGCGGATACACAATTTAGTTTCTTACGGAGAAATATTTTCTGCCTCTGATGGTTGAAAATGCTAAATAGAAGAATGTTTCATGCATGTAACTTTGTTAGTTATACCCTCATATGTATTAAAGATGGTTTTGCATACCGTTTGCTTCTTTTCTGTTTGATATGATGGAAAACATTAATAACATCTCTCAGTCTTCTTGGACTTTCTTCGATTTTAGCAGCTAAGAAGATGCATGCCATTGCATAAATCTACAAATTTCACACAAAACACATTTGAAATACATAGAGTATTGCACAAAAATGAAAGGGAAATAGGCAAACTGATTTTTTAACAATCAACTCAACTATGCAATTTTTTACTTGTAACAAAACCCAATGCAGGAGCACAAAAGAAAAAAGGAGAAACAAAACCTAATAAGCATGAAAGGATTTCAAAAGAACTGCAAGGACTTTTCATAATGACTTCAACATCATTATCAACTTAGTTTAATATTTTTAGGGACTTTTTCATTTGAATTTCTTAGCAATCATCTGAAGCTCCAGAAATGATAACAAAATATATAACAAAGTTCTTTCAAATTCTCATTCCAACCAATTCAAGTTTGTTAGCATCTATTTTTAGTGATTGTTATAAAAACACTAAATAATAAAACATGATCATAAACTGATACCTTAGCGAATAGTCAGAAAGAATTCAAAAGATGGTCACTCACCTCCACGTCGTGTTTTACCAAAGATTTTGAATAATAAAATCTTTGCAGTAAAATTTGCCCTGTAGCCATTGCAACCTATACGCAAAAATGAAGTAAAAGTATGAAATATTGTAGAAGTTATCCTCGTGAATCACAGAAACGACAAAATAGGCCAAATAATAGGCCTAAGATCTAAGTTAGGCCTTACGAACCTGTGGTAACTTGAGCAGAATTCCAGAGGTCTGAATGAACTCGCATCCTAGAATTCTAAGGTCAGTTTCGGTAGCTTTTTCAAGGCCATCTTTTATCGAAGGAGTTTCGCTTAGCCTCTCTTCAGGCAGTATACAATTCTCTAATGAAATGTGTACGTTACCGTAGTCGTATTCCTTCTTCGGTTTCTCAACGGCCGCCATTTTCATAGCATTGAGGAAAACGCTCAACCTACGTCAACCCAGAATGCTTTGGGAACAAAGGAACCAAATTCAAAAATACCAGGGGGGTTATGTTGATAACATTTAACTTGATGCTTTCTCGATAAAAATCATCTGCTTAATTACCAAAATCATTCGGAAAGGCTAATTTCCATTTCTTAGTAAAAGTGGAGATCAAGATAAGCCCAAATTTATCTGCAATCAATTCTCAAAAGGCTAGCTTTCTTTGCCATAGTTTCTTGAATTTAAAACATCCGACACCCGGTTTTGGAAAGGACATTAACAACAACGACGTTATAAGTTCAATTCAGCTCAACTAGCAACAATTCCAAATTTCAAAAAATTTTGAAATGCGAATGGACATGATAAATGAAATGTCTGATTTATTGGATAAGAATATTCGCATTATTCGGGTAAATTGTTACAAATTTTTTTCGATTTCAAGACCTCAAAACTGATTTGCTTCTTTGATGCTTTATTTTTATGTGTTTCCTGCTTCAAAGCTCTGGGGTTCGAGGGGCGTCGCGACCGGGGGGTGTGTGTGTGTGTGTGTGGGGGGGGGGGTGACTGCAACTAAAGAATTTCAGGCAAACATTATTTAATCAGGTAAACTTGTCGTCCACACCCCCCCCCCCCAACAAGGCTATCCTCGCGACGGCCCTGTATCCAAGCATAGTTTGAGCTTTGGGAACAGAGTGGGTGGCGTAGCTTGACCTTCTAGACTACGGGGATGGTGGGTCATTGGTAATAAAATTTAACGACGAAATTATTAGAGAAAAATATGACATGGCAGAGGCGATCTATTTTTTGCCTGACCATCGGAATGTAAGTATGAAGCTAAAAAAGTGTTGTTTTTCTGCAATGGCAGCGCCAGCCACTGTGCTCTGGGGGGCAAAACAAATTACATTACCCCTCCCCCAACATTTTCTCATTGGATTTAGACGAAATAAAAAATTTATCATGCTGAGAACTGGAGGGAACATGTCCCCCCAGTCCCCCCCTTGGTGCCACTACTGTTTATCGGTCGGTCATAAAGTGCACAATGGGGTATAGGCAGAACTGTGCATGATGCTGGTAGGAAACTTTCTCTATGATTGCATTATGCATGAAACTCAGAGTAGCAACTTAGAGAGCTTTGTTATGTTCTATACACCAAAAGTAAGTAAAAAACTAAAGTAAATAAAAATCTCATATTTACAATTTATTTTTTTGCATTTTCTATTTCCAGTATGGTGCCCCAATATTAGCAGCTACTGGTATTATAATAATCCTCAGAAGGACCCATGCTGTAAGTACATTCAAGCCTGAAAATATTTTCTTTACAAATTCCTCAATAATTTTGTTGCTTTTGCTTTTTTGAACTTGCTTCAAGCAGGACTGCCAAGTAATTCTTTTTGTTTGCTTTGTATGTTATTTCTTAAAATAGCAGTGAACATTGTTTTTTTTTCGAATGATGATTTTTAAGAAAATATTTACCAGCAGTACTCTTGACCCCATCAAGTTCCTACATTAATTTCTAATCTGATGCAAGATAGTTGGAACTTGGCTAAAACAAATATCACTTGTGTCTTTTAGTTTTCTCTCTACAAAAATGTCCATGAAATACCAGATCATCTGATATTGAGGAACAAAACTCTTCGAGGGATTGCTAAAGATGTTGTTAGCAGTAATGTAATAAAAGTCCAACATTTACCAATATTCTTCAGAAACCTTGAAGCAAGGAAGGAATATTTTGGTGAGTTTTTTTAAATATAAATCATTAAAAATTACCAAATAATAGCAATTGCTTTCCCAAATTATCACCAACCCTTATAGCTTTGTCTGTGTAGATGATACAGGGCCAGCACAGGTGGAGAACAAGAACAGTCAAGAGCTGCACTCAAATTTGTCTCAAGCGAATAGAGAGCCAACCTGGCAGTTTAGGATACTGTATGACTCACTGGCAATTCAATTAACTAAAGGTGGAAAGACAATAAACCGCTTTCAACAAGCAATTGGCCAATCAATAAGTGTGATACAACTCAGATGCTTATTGATTGGTCAGTCGCTGATTGACAGCTAGCTCTAGCCACTTAATTATGTGTTGATTGCCTTATATTTTAAATTCTAAAAAATTTTCATTTTGTTGAATCAGCTTTCTATGTTTCAATTTTTAATGGAATTCTAGGACAAAGTCTATCACCAATTGATGTAAGCATTGTTGGAATTCAACCCTGTGATGGTTGTCATGAACACATGCAAAAGATGCTACTGAACAAATACCTGAAGATAGTGCCTCTTGGTCTGAACAATGACAAATTACAAGCTATTGTTTACGTAAAAGAGGTTTGTTTTCTCTTTGGATAGAATAATTTCTCTGTTTATAGCCTGAGGGTTCACAGTTGTTGGTAGGCTTTTTTTCTTTTTTTGTATATTCCAAAAAGTTACATAAAAGTTACTGTAATACTTTAACTACACGATGCTTTACATACACTACAAAGACAATACCCTGGGGATCATCAACTCTGTCTACCCCAGGGGCCATAACATAGAGAGGAACAAAATGCATGTGTGTAGTTACAAATACTTGCAGACATAAAAGGATGGTTGATCTATGCGAAGTAAACTTTAATCAAAGCGTTCGGTTTCATAAAGATACTTGATTGTGAGATTTAAAATAAGCTTGTTAGGTTCCAAGGGCAAATCTTTATTTCCATATTAAAGGATTTTGAGTATATTGTTATCTAGAGCCCCAGGTTTACCATATGCTAATATTTTCCTAAGTTTTCAAAAGTGTTTTACTAAAGAGTTTTAATTTTCTTCTAGGGATGGTTAAGGCGTGCAACTTGCGTTAATAAAGAGCTTATCGAAAGAGGACTTGCTCTGGTGGCACACAGTGAAGAATTGGCAGATAGCAAAGCTTTTCAAAAATTATCTAAAATTCTACTTGCTGTAGAAGTTCGTGCTGAAAAACGAGGACAAGGGAGATGGAAAAAGGAATCAAGATATGAAAGACTTTGCAACTGGTTTAAGGAGACGGCATCAAATTTTTATGGCCGTCTGAAAGGCTCTTAGAATGTTTCCTTTTTGCATGTTAAACTTGGCCAAAACTGACCAGCCAATCAAATCAGCATACTGCCCTGTCACAATGATGTAACTATGTCTTTGTGTTTTGGAGGTGAGGGGGTTGGGGGCAACAACGATAGGGTGTATTACTGTGCGTGGGTATGTTATCATAATGAAACGTTATTTGTTCTGGAAGATTCAAGAAAGTATCTAGCAGGGACTCCGACGGAAACTTTTTTTGGAAAATAATAGAACTTTCTTGCATCTCAAATCTTTATTGCATTTCAGAACACTAACAAATCTTTTGTTATTTCCTTTAATTTGCCCCTCCTACTTTCCAAGTTGGGTCTGGGCCCCTGACTAGAATGAACCCTAGTGATTAAAGAGGAAATAAGATCAATATGTGGTTAAAACGGCGCATAGCAAAGTCACTGAACGACAAGACAAGTAAAAAACACGATAAATAGCTTGATGATATAAAACAGTAATTAGATATAATTCATGTATTTTTTATTTAAATGAAAAACAATTGCCTGATGATCGCATTAAGCGCGAGACTCGGAGTTACAAGTTAAATTCGTTCTGTTCAAAGCGTGTGTCTATTTACCAAATTTTTTTTATAAGAATATATTTTTTAAGGATATTAAATCTCAAAATTGATTTAATTGACGACTAACTAAGTATAATAGCCTAACTGTATTTCATCGTATGTATGGCTTTTTTGTCTATCTAAGTTTTTTCAGCAAACAAGACAAGCACAACTGTTACGCAAAAGTTTACAGACATTAAACTTGTTCTACGCACGTAAGTTTCATTTCCAAAATGTTTTCATCACGAGATTTAAGAATGATTGCTTGCTCATGATCAAAAATTTTTAATGATATTGAAGCTCAGCAAAAATTAAGGCTTACTTTTAAAAAGTGTGTAATAAAAATAATAATAATAAGAGGAATATTCATACAGGGTAAAACCTTGTCAATACTACGAGTATTGTTATCGATAAGGGCCCTGTTTGAAAGAAAAAAAATGTAACACATCAAAAATACATAATACAAAGTAAAAGCCTTAAAATGTCTTTTAATATTTCTTTCTAAAAAAAATCCTAAAAAAATTCCTAAGAAATCGTAGTTATGAAAAAAGGTCTATATGCTTGAAAACAACAATTATTTTAACAACAATAATACGTGTATGTTTTTTAGTATAATATCTTCGGATCAGGTCGCTATTTGATAATTATTCTTTATTTTTACTCCTACAAACCAATAAATTAGAAGAAATTTGATCAATATATAAAAATTACTCTTCCTGTGAAAGGTAGACCAAAAAATCTACCAAAAAACTTATCGTGTTTAAGAAAATATAAAGGCTGAAAATCATCATATCAAATACTTTACGAGCGTTGCTCAGTTTTCTTGCGTGAAAGTCGCGCTTTGAGTGATTGCTAACAAAAACTCATTAACAAAAAAGTCAAATTATCGTTTAAGTTCAATTCTGGTTATTAAACTCGATTATTTTAATTTTACATAAGCTGATATAAAAATATTAATCAGCTTTTTCCAAAAAAAATTCAGAAAATCTTCGCATAGGGGCCTCATGGAAAAATACTGGAGAAAATCGTCTTGTTAAACATTTGCCAACGCACTGAAATATATAGTTCAATTTTTTGTTGCAATGCAAGCAATGCTGACGTTAACATAAAATAAAATACATTAATGTCATGTTATGAAAACATGAAACGAATCTCCATAGAGAAAGTTTCTACTCTGCTTGCAAAACACCTCGAATTGTAAAATTTAAAAGTATGTGCATTGTATTCTACTTGAATCCGAGGGAAAACGTAGAGATCTAACACAAAAAACATTGTTCTGCGATTCACCTGCAATAGATTCCGACAATATTTGCCTTCATCACCATGTAAGGGCGCAGGCGCGGTGGCCAAGAGGTAAGGCGTCGGTCTCGTAAACCGAAGATCGCGGGTTCGATCCCCGTCCGTGCCTCATTATATTACTTTTGTTTTCATTTCTCTTGTTATCAGAATGTAATTTCGTAATATGAAATTTCATCCAGTATCCTGTTACATTAATATTTCTAAAAAAATTGAAAGGAAAACAGCCCAAAACCTTTGCATCGTTGAACTTCCGCATAGTTTTGAGTGACACTTAAAAACAGAGTCACGTTTCTTCCTTTCTCAGCTTGTCCTTCGAAGCTAATGAGCTATTCCCATATTTTCCTATAAAAGTGTGTTTTCTGCGATAACATTCCCCTTTTTAAAAGGACGTTTCAAATAAAACACTAAACAAAATTCTTGTGGCGAGTTAACTCCCAGAGTGCAATCTATTTTTTGTTATCGTCTATTTTAAAACTTCTAAACAACGTTGCCTTCGTCTATGAGCTGCTTTTTACATACAATGTGTCCTTTAGATTTTATACTAATTGACTCACCCCCACCCCAATACCCCCTCAAATGACGCCCCTGGGCGCTATAGCTGTGACAAAGGTTTTCGTCGATTTTCGTCGGTTATCCTGTCTCTATGTGACCCAAAAAGCCTTCATGAGAGATCTACATATCTCGTTGTACGCCACTTTGTCTTCTTCAACAGTCAACTTTGTTGTCAATGCGCTAAAGTCTTTTCTTTCCCAGTCGCTTTATCCAATTCTTATTTTTATCCACTGCTTGTGCATGCAACAAATGAAACCAAAAGCAAATTCCTATGCAAGATCCCCTACAACCCAATAGCATCATAGACAGCTCGCAGTTCAAAATAGTTGAGTGAGGTTTAGTGAAAAGTTTAGTCACGTTTTTCCACCCTCGCTAAACTTCGCTCAACTTCACTAAACAAAAGTTGAGTGAAATGTTTAGTCGTTTTGCCAGGGCTGTAAAATTTAACCCTCAGAAACATCTTCATCTAAATTCTATGACATGGTGCAGGAAAATAAAATATGAAAAGTACAAAAAAATGAAACTAGTAGACGAGAGAAACTGTGAACATTCAATCATAACGTTGTGTATTTTCTAATAAACCATTTTTCATGATTGCTATTGTCAATAACTTTCACGAAACCATCACAGGCATTCTTTCTAAAAACCTACGAAAATATTGCACTTTCATGACAGATAATTTTACAGAGTTGTCATAAATATCATTAGTTAATTAGTATTTATTGACTTTGAATAAAGATAAGTGGGATCAAACGAATTAGCAGTAAAGAAAGTTAAAGGGTTAAACTATTTTAGACAAGTTTGCTGCATATACATACAAGTTTACTTCAAGCATACTTCAATGCCCCCGCTGTCTTCGTGAAAACTCTTAAAAACATTAGAGCTTTAAATGAACCATTGAAGGAACATTTAGAGTTTAGGAAATAATTACTATCCCTTTGATTTCATTCGATATCGTTGACAATAGAGTTCCAATGATGATGGTTGTTAAAATATATTGTTTGGAATTTCCTGAACTGAACTGGGGTCACATTAATTAAAAGAGCACTGCAAATGTGTGGTGCTTTTTCACTGACAACAGCACAGCTAAATTGCAACCAATGTGGCAATTTCAGAGATATTTGATGGAGTCTCTTTCATATAAAATATATAAAATATAAAAAGGGGGTCAAACAGTTACCTCTATATCGAACAATAACAGGCCCCAATACAGAAATAGAAATACAGAAACCACTTTCTCTTGCCATTCTGGCTGGGGGCCTTGGAAGAAACGTACTGAAGCTGTGTTGGGCTTGATGTTCAGACCCAGAAGCTTAGTTTCTACCTCAAAGGCCCTTCCAAAGACGAAGTGATTAGCAAAACATGCATTTACACAAATCAAGCACAAAATAAATGGGCCTAAATTACAGGAACAAACATGTTCCGTGTTTATTATAAGCTAACTATTTAATGAAATATATACTAAACATCACCATGATGATAAAACTCACTTCAAAACACAATAAATAACCCAGTCACACCCGTCCATTAAGAACAATGAAGACACAGTTCACAATAGTAAGTTAGGCCATAAACACTTTAAACTTTCCAGTATGGAGATGTCTGGCTTTCCTTGAGTATTGACGACGCACGCTCAATCAAGTTGTTCACAATTCAATTTGCAACGCTGTCAAATTTTACTTCGAGACAATCCGAATTCTTTGATGAAGCCATTAAGCTCACTATCAAGCCACGACGCTTTATTCCTTAAACAAACATGTAAAACTTAATTTTTCTTGAAATTCTTAAAAATGTAGTATGAAAAGCTGGATGTGAATTCAACAGCCAGCAAGGGGCCTTTCTGTTGTTTGGTTTCACAACAATTAAGTGTGAATTAATAACGAAAGTAATAGAACTATGATGATTATAATACCATTTTAACTGAAAAAGTTCACATTTTATATTTGTATTATGTAAGAAAAACTTATGCGACATACCTAAAAACTTTAGCTTTTGCTTCGACTTCTTCTAATCTTTTCATTTCAATGTTTAATTCATCTATTTCTTTCTTTAATTTCGATTTTGAGTTCTTTATTTCTGTTTCCAACTGCATAAACGTCGATGATAATTCCCTAAAATCAGAAATACGATATAGGTGTAAAAGAGCCTTTGCATATTCATGAACGTATCTTATAAGTTATATCTACCAGAATCATGGACTGCTAGTTTGTAAATCTTACAGACACTTATATTTCAAGCTGACAGACAAAATAATTATTTCCGGTGCTCCTCTCATTCAAAATCCCCTGTTTTACAAGTACCACATACACTTAATGTCACCTGAAATACCCCATATTGATGATCTTGTAATTCAACCTTACATTACGAACTCTGCCATTCTCGGTCTACGTTGAGTATCAAAAATATCCATAGAACTAACGGCGTTTAATTGAAAGGGAAAAGGGAAAGAGTAAATATACACCAATGTGTTGATAAGTCAAAATAATGATTATTGAAATCAAATGTTCAATCGTTAGGATTCAAAATCAGAATACAGTAAAAGATCTAGTCTTCAAAAAAGACAAAACATTAAACGATCTCATTAAAAGAAGCTTATAAAAGGAAATTACTAGGCAAACTTACTGTTCAACTTGGTGACTGCAACTTTTGCTGGTGAAGCTCACAACAAGTTGCAACTTCTCTGAAGCATAGCTAACAAGCTGAAAACGCAATACACTGATTTAGCACGAAACATTTAGGACCCTTTTAACGATACCAAATTTCCAAAAAAGCAAGGCTGTTGAGCACGTCTGTGTTGGGCTTTGGCGTTTATAAGAGTATACTGCGAATACGAATTCGGTTTTTATTAGAGTCCAGCGTTTGTAGAGATACGGTCTTTTATGAATCCGGCGTTAACATCAATCCGGAGTTCTTAAGAATCAGATGTTTTTAACAAATTATTACAACGGATATTATAAGAATCCGGTGATTACAGGATTCGGACAATTTTTTCACCATTGCAAATGATTCTTTAGTCGTTTCTTTTTCAGCAGAAAAACCCCTAACTCCAAAGGCTCGCTAAGGGTCGTTGCAAACACGATTGATCTTGTGTTGCCATGCGAATTCCAGTAAACGGCCAGATCGCAAGCATGCGTATATTCAAAACATCCGAATTAACGTTCCGCGTTGGGTTCGATTTCGGCCTTGGTTCTAGCCCGGGGTTTGTTGGCAACTCGAAAAATTGCTGGAAACAATAAGACATTCTAAATACGAATAGATCTTAGCGCAAACCTTACGCGTCGCCGAAAATGTGATGCTAAACCAACAAAGATAATTTTTGCTAAAACACGTACAAGACCTAGGTGTTTTGCCTTTTACGGCATAACCCGCTTTAAGCTTGCAATGGCAATTAACGCTACAACGCTCAACAGCTGCATGACTAGCTAGCACGAAATCACTCTAGCCTATGCTAGAAAACCAACCAATTATCTATCCAAAGAATGGGAATCTGAGCTAAGAATATCGCTTTTGCTTATAAATGAACACGTTTCGAATTTTCTATGATTCAGGAATATCTTCCGGTACATTCGGTTTTACTGCCATTTGTGAGTTCTATCTATGTTCCTCCCTGGTACCATAAAAATTTTTCCTTTGCTAAAGGTCGTGAATTACACAGATAACCAATTCCGTAACTATCAAATACTAATTATATAGGCCTTCGTGAAAAAAATTTCACATGGGCGACTAACTGTCCGCGTGAATGAGCTCACGAGGGCGATCGCCCGTCCAAAAGCACCTGGGGACGTCTTAGGGTATCCATTACTCACGATTTCGCTTAACATTTGGCTTTCAAAATGCAATTACCACAAATTTTTAAAAAGACTATTTGATGTTGTGAGTTAGTAATCATAGTAGGGTTAATTGATTGAATGAAAGTATGAGAAAAACAAACCTGTTTTTTGAAAGAGTTTTCCTTCGCAGAGTTGGTCCACCTCGCCCTTTCGAACACGTACAAAGTTCCGTAACCACCAACTATGCCTATTATCAGTTTCCAACCGAGAGTCCTCCAGACCTTAGACAGAAAATTATATGAAAGCAATGGAGGATAATGTTTACATGAAAAAGCAAGGGGCAAATAAAGAAGGCGAAGAGTAATAGAAAGCAAATTGGCAGCGTGAGCTAATGAGAAACACAATGGTGCTAAAAGATGCTGACCGGTGTAGGGAGATTGTTATGCGTAGTCTAAGGGGGGTTTAGATGTTCATTCGTTGCTGTACAGTGGCAAACAGAAGATGCCTTAAAGAAGAAGCATTTTCAATGCAGTTAATACACACCAGTCCGGCAACAACAAGGATTCCACATGACGTCGTCGATGTCACCGATGCTAAAGCATGGACCACCGCCACTGTCAATTCATTTTCATCATAACGACCAGGGTATTCTAGCACGTCATCCTGTCGCCTAGCAACCATGGACGAGGTCTTCTCTTCTTCAGCCTCGTGTTGGAACTGATCCTTTGCTTGTCGCGCAGCGGTTGCAATTGCGGCGATTGGTGAACTTTTGCTGATCTAAGCACAAAAGGATAACTGACGTGAGTATGACTGCAAATGATACTGGTCGTTTATGTGAAAGGTCAATGGAAGACAGAAACATCTAACTAGGAACAACGAAGATGCCCTCAGTTCGTTTTATGTCTTCAGTATTTCACATCTCATCATGATTTAAGTTCACAAATAGCCTTGATAGTACAAAGAAAATGGTACATTGTCTAAAGAGAAGAAATGTGAATTTAAAAAAAATTAGGACATTGGGCCCAAGAGCAGTTCAATCTGACGTCAAAAAAAGACATGTATCTCCGGCCACTGAATCAAATTATTCAAATCACAAACTCACATTGGCTCCTAGCAACATCGCGAGTTTGGCGTTTCTTGGTGCTAAGAATCGTCTCACAAGATTTGTCCATCCCAATGAAAAATGAAACGAAATATCTTCTTGAAAATCTGTGCAAAGTGAATGGACGTCCAACTCATAACTGACTTCAAAGTCACGTCTGTAAAAAGGAACCTTGCATTAGTGACATTTGACCCCTGTCGTTAGGGACTTTGACCCTAGGCTATTGACCTTTTAATTTGCGGAATAATATCTATGACCTTCGAACTTTGATTTTACAACACTGACTTATCAACAACAACACAGAATTCAAAACTTTAACTTCCACTCTTCTACATCTCGTTGAAGTGGCGAAGTAAAGATGTCATAAAACAACTGATAGATAGAGTACTGAAGTGTGACGTCATCAAAAATTTATTTTTAGAATCTCTCAATTTTGACCACATAATGTGAAAGAACGGCATAAAGTACCTCTCTATGTACATTATCGGCTAGATATGTATAAAATTTGGCGGGATATGACCAATGAAAGTTTGCTAACGAATTACTGTTATTCTGGCCTGGTTCATAAAGTTATGAACCAAGACCAAATTACAGAGGTTTGATGGGGCATGAGGCAGTGATCATGTGGCCATATCTCAGCCAATTTGTGACAAAATCAACTGAGGTATTTCGTGTTAAGAGGTATTTCGTGTTGCTCCTTCAGCTTATAGGATCAAAATTTAAAAATTCTAAACATATATTTTTGTAACGTCATCACGTTGGTACTCTTAATTCTATACCTTATTTATTTCTCAAAAAAAGATGCATTCGGACAAATAATTATCAAAGCTGTGACTCAGAAAGCAAAAGTTTAATCACCTGGGTGTCAACTGCACGATTACACTTTCTGCATTAGGAGGTATTAACAAGTGAATTCCGTCTAAAGAAGGAATAAAGAATATTCATAGACATAAGAAAAGCAATTCTCATCTGAAAAACTCTTCAACTCTTTTTGTATTTTGTATTAATATTTGGGAACTAGAAAAACAACAAACTTGAACGAATAATTCTTCTATAGGTACATCATTCTTCCGAGATCAGTTACTTAACACATGGCAGATCCACAGGAGATATCGACATGGTCCTGATAAACCGTTCTGCTTCCTTCCTTACCATGTTTTAGTTAGCGATTTAAAACTAACCATTTACTTCCATAGGCGACAACCATACATAGAAAAACCAATCAGAAAGACTTCGAAAAAGAACTGTGACGCAATTCTAATAAAAGCTATGATAAGAGCCGATTTGGTATTTCATTGTACACTACAGCTTCTCAATATAGCTACAACGACTATAAGGATAAAATCTAATGAAAACGATACTTGGCTTGTAGATATACCTCTAAATCTATAAAAGATCGATTCAAGAGATGTTCACAAAACTAAATCTAGTCTTGGAAAAACTCTAATCTATCTCTAATTAAATCTTCTCGTAAAAGCAAACTCTTATTTCAAGACCACTTCATAAAGCCACTTATGCCTCCACAGGTACTGGATAACTAGTCCAAAGAGGTACAAACATAAGGCCTATGGAACATTCTTGCAAATATTTTCTAGCTAAAATAGTAAATCGAATGCATGGAAAATATCTCGCTACCTCTCATTTCCTTTTTGTACTCCTCAATCGAGTCAAGCAGCAATGCTGAACACCTGGCTTTTAGATTCTTTCCAAGTCCTTTTTCAATATGAGAATAAAGCTCCTGTAGAAAATAACATAAAATAATCATGATCTTTGTATCATTAAACTAAAGATATTGATAAAGGTGTAAGAGAATAAATATCTTGAATCTTTATGAGAAATTTCAATAAACAAGATCTTCACTGAACTCACCGCTTTATACGTCTTTAAGAAGCCGTGGTGCGGATGAAAGGGGTAATCAAAGTCCCCAACAAGGTACCCTAGACGTCGAATTTCATCTGACATGGCCTTCGCAACCTGTTGGAACAAAGATCACGAATTTAAAACAGAATACAGTGATTGTTCCGTTAATGATGCGATACAAGGGCCAGGAAACACGTGGTAACTGAAGACATTAAGTACTTGATGTATATCTGCATCTATCCAAGTATCTTTCTGCTGATTACAATAATTATTTGTCCATCTCGGATCACACGGGCTTGATACAGCGATACATCTTCGAATACAAAAAACCCAAGAAACTAACCTGCTGCTCAACTTCTTCCGAAAAATTAAGGATTTTGTTCTTGATTTCTTTAGTAAGGGTTTCAAAGCTGACTGTCATGTACTCCAGCCTCTCTTCCAAGTCTTGCTTTTGAGCCTCGCATCTACGTCTGTCAAACAAAATGTTCATACGGTTATAGTTATATTATAGTTATATCAAGCAGACGATAACCGAATTAAAGTTAAATCTAAGGTATACTCTGCAAATATAATTAAGTACATTAAGTACTTGATGGGATTTTGCTTTAAGGGATTTTCCTAGATTTATTAAAGGAAAGTTTCAAAGGCCGATGTATAATAGGACTAGAAAATTTGAGTGAACTGAAGTAAGGCCTGCGGTATAATAACACTGGAAAAATACCCCAGGGAAAAGATTCTGAATCACAAAAGAAGCGAAGAACATAAAAAGGTTCCAATGGGAGTTGCCAATAATTCAGTTTTCTCGAGAGATTCATTTGCAACTTTGTGCATCAGATAGACCGTGATTAAAAAAGGCGGTAGAAAATAGTAAATAACACTATAAAACAATACGGCTAGCCGACCATTTGGTAAAATTCCTACAAGATGTATTATTCTGCCGCATACATTGAAAATCTTTATGAAAAACTCTCAAGCGTGAAAATGTAGCAAAATGATAATATATAAAGTCCAAGAAATAGAAACTTTCGAAAAATGTTAAGCTATGATTTATAATTCATTGATATATAAAATGTCTAGAAAGTATAATATTACACAACACAAACCTTTGTGAGTAGGCCCTGCCAACAACCTGTTCCATAATTAATCTTAACTGTGAAGTGATTCCTTTTCCTCTTGAAGCATGGCTTTCAAATTTTGTGGTGATGGCAGACTTTGAGATGCATTCCTGAAAACACAATATCCAGTAGTTAGATGAAGCCAAACCCAAGTCAAAAGCAAGCACCGTAAAACCACGAATCACCCTCCCCCTATCACCTCCCTATCGTTAAAGCCCCTCCCCTCGAATAAGCCCTGTTTTCTCCCTTTCTAACAAAAAACACAAAAAATTCCACAGCCCCTCAACCAAAGAGATTCTTACCTGAAACTTTATCTCAAAATTCTCGAATTCGATCAGCCTTGCCCTGTGCTCTCCAACGAAGTCTGTCAAAAAGAAAACCAGAAAATAGGAATAAATCTCTTAAAGAAAGCAATTTCAAAATTCGGTCACTATTGCTAGAGTTCTCTCTGAAAACCTATCCAAAACAAAACTACACACAATGGTGAAAGAACGTCATATTTGATGACTTAATCATCACGTTTTACATCGCCTGCGACCATTTTAAAAATATATTAACAAAGAAACCATTCGGAACGCAGAACATAAACAGAAAATAAACATCCGAAAAAAGCAAGCAAATTAACACATCAAGATACATGCAAGACTGAATCGAAAGGCTTATTGTCTTAAATATAAACAGAAGGTCAGCCATATTGTTTTAAACATAAAAAGAAGGTCAGCAGAGAGAAAATAGCATGTACAAAATAAAATAAGTAAGTTTTGAAAAACAAGGCTTGGTATGAAACTTCAGTTAATTTTGTCCATCTACTAATTTGAGTCGTGGCGAAATTGGAGTAAAATGGAAGTCGTGGTTTTTCTACGACATCCTCAGATGACATGTGTTCACATCATTTCATTTCAAAAACAAAACCAAATTTTAAACACATCCCATCAAGGTGGTACGTCACTCCAAAGAGGCGAACAAAAAAAGCATCATGCCTGCATGAACACATTTTAAAATGTAACTAGTATCAACCATATAAACTTCTGTCATTTTGCATGCTCGGATTGGCCAAAAAACTTTTTCCGGTACAAATTGCGTTGCTTGAGACAATCAAGAAGAAGCCAAATTGCAAAAGGAACCATTTTATTTGGCAATAAGGTTAATTCTTTATATCATAAATGGCGTCTGTACACTTGCACTTGAACTTAAGTCCCATTTGGGTGATTTTCCAAATGAGAATCTTTCTCAGTCATTAGCTTCGAGCAAAGATAAGTTCCTTGTTTTCAAGATAGAAATTTCAGTGACACAATTGGAGTTAAACTTTGGGATGTTTAAGGGAGGCATCTAAAAAGAAAAACAAAGTACCATTGATGTCACTTTCGATGCTTTCGCTTCGTTGCAAATTGACAGCAGGTGCTGGTTGTCCTTGCATTCGCTTCTGTTTCATTCGGTGACGTAATGTCTGAAAGATCAAATCGTGATTATTTCAAAACAGCGATATTCTTTCTCGCCAATATCATGCGAGGTTTGTTATAATGATAGCGAAGATTTGATGAATCTTTTGATGTGCGTCTTTCTTGCCTTTCATGTTAATGTTATGTTTCAAGCTAATTGAAGCTAACTACTTACAATGTATCTTTAAAGTAATTTTTATAGAAAGCATAAATGTATAATAAAAGTCTTACACAATCTACAGCTGCACTCGAAGTTATCTACAGATTCATGTTTCGTTTAAAAATTAGTATAGTGATTTGGAGTCTTCAATTTCTATTGACAACCTTTGTAATAATTTTTCTTCAATAAATATAGTGGTCTCTGTGCCATGTGGTGTTGTTCTTGCACTGGGTTAAATAGTATTGCTGTTTGCTCGAAGTTTATATTGTAGGATTCTAGTAACAAAAACATCTTCTCGCAAGGTTTAGCACAAAGGTAAGAGGATATAAGAGACTAGAAAATATTTCAATATGAAGATACGTAATTCAAAAATTAGATTTAAGAAACAACAGGAATAAATAAGTTGAAAAGCTACTCAAATCTATACATTAATGTAAACAGCACATGAAACAGAATCAAATTGAATTAAAAAATGTCATCTTATTCGAGGAAAAACTTTAAACAAGCAAGGAACAAAGGGAAAGTGCGCCGTAAACGGAACCAAAATACGTTGTTACCTCAAGAGCAGAGACAAAGAAAACGCGGTCCTTCGCTTCTCTCTTGTTAACACACTTTAGTTCATCAGCTAAAAAGTTTGTAGTACGTTCCAAATGTTGCTGCTTAACCTTAAGATAAAAAGAATGCAAAAATAATATAGCATTTCTCTATCAAGTAACAAAGAGCACAGTAACACACGTACAAATAACAAGTATCAAGTATCAAGTAGCGTTTCTCTATCAAGTCTCCCATGTCCCATGTTCCTTTTTTCCTTTCTTTTTTTCTTTTCTATTAGTCGTGTATTTTTAAAGTCTGCCTCAAATTAGATGCCACGCAATAGTTGCGATGATACCTAAACCTCCCTTCTTAAATTTGAATTGATCGCAGACATTTCTCGTGGCATGTAATTTGAGACAGACTATAGTAGTTTATTTTAACTATGTGTCTATGGCCCCCGGGTAGTCATAGTCTTTTGCTCCCCGGGGTATCGCCCGAGTAGTATTGTAAAGTAAATTTGTAAGTAGCGTAGCTTGTATTTATGTATTATAACTTTTTAATGGATATAAAAAAAAGTAACAAAGACATCTAATTTTAAGTACAGAAATGACAAATGCTTAAGATGCTAACATGTAGACTAAAACCCCAATGCTAAAGAAACGTTTAGCAAGGAAAGATAACAGATAATATGGTCGTTGAAACTGAAAAAGAAGAACAAATTAGTGACAACCCAAGTAAATAAAACATTTAAAATTCGATTATCATGGATAGTAACCCTTTATGTTGAAGTGTCAAAATTGAGGGTGATACTTTAAACACATCTATCTTTAGCATACACAACAATAATGATGAAAAACATAATTTCTTTTCATTTTATAACAATATTCGTGAGTTAGGCATGTCTTTAGAAACCCAAATAAAACATTGTGAAAAGTCATACAAGAGTGGCTGGACATGGATATAAGAACTCATGCCCAATTGCGTGGATAGAAAACAAAGTTGCTTTTGGTATTGCTGCTGCGACAAAGCCAATAGTGTATTAAATTTAGCTGACTAGCTTAACACTTTTATACCTATGACTTCATACACATAAATTTATCAAATTTTGCAAATTTAGAGGTATTTCATAATATTTTTTCAGGTTATACAGTCAAAACAAAATATTCAAAAATAGAATTTTATGACGTCCTCATTGTGGAACCCTATTTTTCAATTTCGTTTATTTCATGGGCAGTACTTCTGTATCTACGACAAAAAGGTAATGACCAATCTTTGTGCCTTACAATGCGAGGACTCAGTCAAAAATAATAGAAAGTCGAGTTGGTTAGGTATTGTTGTTCGGGCAAAAGCAACAGCACACTTAAAAAAAACAATAATTTACCTTGGCCATCATTTGAGGGTCCCCGTCTGACGAAGCATCCCATCTGTTGTTCAATATAAAAACGTTTGGTTTTGATAAACGATTATTGACTTTGTGGAAGAAGCTCTTTTCCTAGTCATAACAAAGAAATTATATCAGTCCTAATATAATTTTCTGGTCTTTAAACAAGAAAATATATATTTTAAAACAATTTCTAACGGAGGATTTCTTCATTTTTTGTCTTATAAACCATATAATACGATACAAAACCATTCATTTCAAACCAAATTTGTCTGATGATTGCATTAAGCGTGAAACTCGCAGTTGCATCTTAGAACAGTTATGTACTATAAACCAAATCGCATACAGCTCTGCCTTCGCAGCATCAAGAATTATATTTAAAAGACCGATTCAACGATTATCTTCAATCTAAATCTATATAAAAAGATATGCAATGTGAAAGTAAAAAATTGGATGGCAGGCACAGCATTCCAAAGAGTTGAATTTAGCCCCCAAAGAAGTTCTTATTCAGGTAAAGAGTACTAAATTAACGCAAAAGTAAACCTTGCTATGACACCCCTGGTGGTTGCGATCTTGGGAAATTTCATTTTCATACAAAAATAGATATGAATGGAGCATTTTTTGCAAGAATACGGTTCGATCTGGTTAAATATTTTGCATGTTCTTGTTTGACAAATTAACACATCTTAGAGCTTCAGACGTATTCAAAAGTAGCCTCGACTGGGTAAAAATTTTTTAGGTCATATAAGTTTCAGCTCCAAGACTGCAAATGGCACTGCATGGACTGCCAAGTTTAGTTTTGAAAGGTAGGTCCATAAAGCACCTCAATCAATCGAAAAAAGGGCAGAATTATTTCTAACAGCTATTAACCACAGTCAGGAAAACGTTACGGTCGCACGGCCACTGACCAGAGGAAGGTCCACGAAAAACAATAGAAGCTCCTGTGACACATCCAAGGTACGCCCACATTCTATTTTTTTGCGAGGAAGGTTTGCCTTCCGAGATGTTTTTGTCTGGAGGAAGGTTAACAACTTTTATGGACTCTGCTATATACTGTCTTCGCCAAGGCCTAGCATCAGTGAAAAAGACTGAAAAGAACTGGACAAAAATAACACAGCTTTCAAAGTTTCTCAGCATCGCAGCATTAACAAATTGAAATAAACTCACTGTTTGATTCAGAGTAGACTCAGAATTGACAACAAGGACAAAAACGTCAGCATCAAGGCAATGTTTGTCAATCCAGCTATCTAGGTCAGGGGTGACATCAATTCCAGGACTGCAATATAAAGATAACATTTTCCTGAAACATGTTTACGAATTTTCTAAGAGAACAACTTTACACAGCATCACAAGCAGCAGGACAAGTGTTTCTGTAATTACTCATAAACGTATTTTGCGGTCAATTTCACATTTTTGATAATTATGGTAAATTAAATGGTATTTTGCATCAATATTGGTATTTTGGGGGCAACATAATGCTCTTGAACCAAAAGCTAAAGATCACCAAATGATAGATTTAGATACTTGGTTTAGAAATATGTTGGAATAAGCAAACAAAAATTTGAAACTTTAGGTTTCTTCAAAAAATGTATCTACAGTTTGTAAGAAAGATATTATATGAACATGAGACTAAAGGCATTTGACATGCAGAAGTACGGCGAATCCAAAAATAACTTTGGCCAAATTGATCAGAGCACGCATACAAGAAAGAAATTGGAAACTGCTCACGTCACTGCACGCAGCTCTGGGATTTTACCAATTTGCAGAAAGGCGGAAACTGTTCACAGGTTTTTCTCTGTGCGCAATTTGATTGGTCAAGCGCTTGTGGACGAGTGGCTGTAAGCCACCTCTACCTGTGTCAAATACCTTTAAGATTGTGCAGAAATTTTTTGGGCTATTTAAAAAGTGAACAATATTTTTTTAGCTGTTTGCTAAAGCTATGGAACCCACTGAACCCCTATCATCCTGAATTTCAGAGCAAACAAATGACTTAAAAGTCAGGGACCCTGTTGATAAAAGAGCTGATGAGCCTTTTGTTAAACATAAGAACAAATAATATTTTGGTCTTGGCCTGTAACTGGCCCTTGATTACCAATTTACCGCCAATCATAACAGTCACATAAGGGTCAAAATCGGCAACTAACCTGTCAACAAAGACAACATCATCTCTGAGCAATGTGCAACTGAAAACAAATTTAAAAAGCCTTAAAAAACAAAACTTCAAATTCTCAAAAGTTCTTAAAAGTCAACTAAGACCACAAAAATTTTTCTGAGCAGAAATTAAATAGCCAAATTTACAAATTTTGAATCATTACAAATAGCAAATCTTTTAATCAGAAAGAAACATAAATATTTAGCAACACTCTAGGTTGTGCTCTTCATGAAGAGTTTATGTAATATGTAGTAATGTGCTCTTTCTGGTAATGTTTAATTTTAATGTTCACTATATCAAACTTTCTGGAAACATTAAAAAATTATCTTGCATAATAACATCATCTATCAAAAAGTCATTTAAAGCATTTGACAACTTTTCTTTTCCATTATCAATCACAATAAATAAAATGCTTCACAAAATTCACTAAAACCAGATCATTTTAGATACACAGTAAAGCACAAGGGTCACATTGAATTATGAAGAAAAATCAATATATTATCTTACACATCTTTTGGCCAAAAAACTTGAATGAGGCTGCTGCTGTCAATTTTCCCTTCTCCTAATGCATGTGCAAGTTGTTGTAATGACTAAATACAAAAATTGAATATATTAAAATAACAGTTTTATGGTGGTACAAAATTTGAAAATCTGAACATTTCATGACACTTTCATTTTCACTGACGTATTTTATTGGAAGTTTCAGATAAAAAAGTTTTAAGTATGTTGTAGAATGTTTGGTTTTTTCAAAGCTACAACATAATAGAAAATTGTTCCTAAATAGCCTTGGACAAGTCCAGTAAAAGTGGAAGTCACAAAACAGTTGATTATCAAAAAGAATCTTTTTGAAAACAAAAAATCTCAGTCAAAACATTCTGGTAAAACTTTCTCTGATTCTTTATAGAAATGTTTGGGTTTTTGTAGCTCACGGGCACAGGAAAAAAATTATTTGCTTCAGTATGTGTAGTTTGTTTTAAGGTCCCTTTAATTGGGTTTTATTGTATAACCCCTGTGAATGGTGGATAGTTGGCATGAGTGACTGGTCAAATACCAACTCTGAAATTATAAAAAGCAAAAACATTGATTTCAGATCAGGTTATTGCCAATATGACTGAAACGGAATTATTGCAGGCAAAAGTAAATCAATGATTATTATTGAATACCCACATCCACACTTCTCTTCTCCTTTGAATCAGGTGTATTCATATATGCTTCAGTTCCATTACATCCCATAACGGTAACAAAACAATTTGTTGTATGACCAATACCAGATGGCAGTATTTTGTCTTGCAACATAGCATTAATGACTGTGCTTTTTCCATTACTTGTTCTGCCGAAAAATGCCACTTTCATGTGATCCCTTGACAGAACTGCTGTAATGCCAGATACCTGCTCCAAATAGTTTGATACCTGGAGATAAATGAGGATATTGTGTTAAATGAGGCATCTCAATCAATACCAAAATCACACTATCAGGCTTTTCTTGATTGATGTAAATATTTCTTTTTTTATCTTTACCATAAACCTCATTATCTTACTTTATACCATAATAATATTTTGTTCCATTTTTGATTTGAATAAACAGTTAAAGCACACAGAAACTCCTTATAAGATACTGGGTGATGAGTTTTTCAAGGTTATTTAAAAGAATAAAAAAGACTGTTTAGGCAGATTCTTATAGCTGTTCATTTTTGAACAAAAGCTTCTGAAGTAAAATAGATGGAAGAAACAGTCTTTTAGAAACAAACTTGAATTCAATTAACTTAATATAAAATACTACCCTGTAAAAACTATTTACTCTCTGTCAAAATGTATAATTGTTAATTCTTTTCAGGATGGCTCTGCTATTTTCTTCATTTTCTTCATTAGATACTCATTTTGATAAGAAACTCATTCATCAGATACTCATTCAACAGCCTTTTGCTCAAAACTTATTAATTCTAAAAGTAATTTTATATGGTTTTAACAGGTGGGTTTTTACGGTCAGCAAAAAGGGGAAAAGGCAGCATACTTAAGCACTTAAGTACATCTGATCCCTACTATAAAAGCAGATAAAGGCTAGGTAAACAGGATGCCAAAATATTATATGCTCCAGATCTTTTATGTTGATTTGCTTCCAGGTCTGTAGGCCTGCCTATTTTAAGCTCAAGACAGGTTTTGGAAGAGTATATTCTGGAATTATTTGTATGAAGGAGTTTTTGAGCATCTCCTGACAAATAATGAATGCTTCATCTGATGAAAAATTATTGGAGGCACCCATATAAATAATCTTATTATTTCAAGTTGGGCTATTAAGTGATGTGGTAAATGCACTCCGATTTGGAAATATTTGTTTGAATGTGGATAAATGTCCCCAAAATGTCTATGCATGTCCACGGTCATGTCAAGTAGCTACAAAACTGGTAATAATAATCCAACAGGCATCCTCCCCTTGAATAACCTCTCTCTCAAATAAAGCCCCCTTCCAACATTGAGTTTCGAATAAGCCCCGGCCCAGAGGCTCAATAGAATTATTGCGGTACTCTTAAGACAGGCATTGAGTATGGCTTTCTTGATTTCCTTTTGAGGAACTAAACTTACAGCTGAATACAAAATAAACTTTGATAGCAAGTTAAATATCTTCTTTTATTTCAACTAAACCACATACCTTGACAGTTTTTTAGTTCTAGTTTTGTGTATTTCTTTTCATAGCTGCCTAATTAGAAACCTATTGGATGACCCATAAGGAAAAACCCATGGCCTGAAGACAATGACAGTTCTGAACCTTACCTCTGACACTAAAAAAAGCAAGAAATTAAGCATGTCTATAATGGGATGTCACTCTAAAAGATATGCAATGTTGAGTGACAGATAAGAACTTGCCACTTCGGCAGAACCTGCCAGCAATAACTATCTTTAGGCTTATAAATTACGATGAGCCAGTCTGCAGAGTATGGCACTTTTTGATGAGATCTCTGGTGTGCAGGAGCGAAAAGCCTGGTGTGCCGGTGTGCACCACAAAAAATTTCTGGTGTGCTGGTGTGCACCAGCTATTTTCCCCTGTTGTGGTTAAAGTTTATAAATTTGCATTTCACCGTAAAAATGCTAAGGAGCCTCGCATGCCTTCTTCTTTTGCCCGCCCTTTCTTTTTTTTGTCTGGGTATTCCAATAGAAGCCCAGATTGCAAAATTTGTTGTGCACCCGCAATATATTGCCCACGCACACATCTGCGCCCTTTTGCATATTGGCCGCGCTAAATCCGCTAGAGCTTTAGACAATAGCATTTAACATTATTAACAATAAAAATAACTAAGAGTGTATGATTTCAGGTGCGCAGTCTCAAATTTTCAAAGTAAACTTGTCCGTGCAAGAAGCAAAGTTTCCAGTCTGGATAGAAGCAACAGAATTTTCTATGGGACCACACCCAGCCACGCCCATCTTAGTTGCCACACCCCAAAATACCCGGTGTGCAAAGGTCTTTGCACAAAATATCTCCGGTGTGCACATGCCATACTCTGCAGACTGGACGATGAGTAGCTCAGCTGCCTTAATTTCAAAACGTAATTTTGCAAACCTGTTGCAAGTCTTTTCTCGTCTCATGATCCAGCTCATCAGTAATCTCACAGTCAGTTAAAAAATCCCTCGTTTCTTTAAGGTACCTGGCAAGTTCGTCGAACGTTTGATTAATTAATTTCTTGGCTCTCACGAATACTTGCAGGGGTGAAATCGCCATGGCTTCCAGGCTAAGTGGATTACTGCCTGCTGAAATGGAGTTTGCTTTTCGAAAGGCTCTATTAATTTGAGGCATTATGATGTCTAAAGTTTTTCCAAAGCGTCTTCATTGCTCCTTGCTATGTTAAGATGCAGAATATCAAAATAAGCAACCATTTTTTATATAACTTTAGGCCAAAAAGGACATCTGCTCCCAGTGCGCCATCATGCAGCAACAACAGCGTCTATTGAAATCACCTTCGCAGAGGTCTTCGACCACATCTTCTAAAATGTTGCTCTAGACATAGCACAACTTGATTAATACAACATATACATGGTACATACCCAGATTAAGATAAGAAATAATGAAAAATTAAAACAAGACAAAAAAATAAATTAAAATGCAGAGAAGCTATCAAAATGTTGGAAAAAACTAATTATCGAAGAAAAATTAGATAACACAGATAAAGTTAAAGGACAAGTAAAATACAGTACTGTTTGTCTATTAAGATACAAATGAGACCTGGAATATGTAAGAAAATGCTTTCAAAACAGCCATGTGTAGCATCCCCGGTAAAATCCGTGCTCGACGAGAAATTTTCTGACCGGGGTCCCCCCTTTCAAAAATTCGAATGAGCCAGTCGTTTTTTTTATTTACCAATGTCCCTTTCGATCTGAGGTTTTTTGTTTTTGTCTCCAGCAAGTCTCAAGTTCCCTCTTTGGCAAAACATAATATTACTGGATGCTTTTTAGAGTTATAAACAGATTTATCTATCGCTGACAACATAATTGCGAGATTTACAAATCCCCTGTCTGTCCAAGACAAATTTTTTGCTTTCCCTCCAAAATTTTCCTGTCTTCCCCCGTGAAAAATCCTGATCAGGCTGGCAATACAGGGGTGTTTAAAAGGAATTGAGGGAGTGGAAGAGGCAAGAAAACGTGACAAAAAGGACATAAATGGCTGGTAAGGGTGACAAATTATATAGACTGAAAGGAAACTTATTTGTAGAGAGTTAAAAAAGAGTAGAACTATAGAGTACAAATAGAAAAAGAAGAGAGATTATAAAATAATTTTGCTAAAAGAAAGAGAACAGTTGGAAAAGTTAATAAAGTGAATAAGTGGATAAAAATATTATTGGAATGGAGAGAAAATAATAAAGGCTACTAGAAGAAATAGCAGTAGAGCCTGTGAGGTATAAAAAAACAAAAAATAGTTGGCCAGCAGGAGCAATGCTACCTAAAATTCCAAAATCTAGAATTGGGTGACTTCAGTATCTACAAAAAGCATATCTCTTGAATCTTACTTTTTCTTACAATAAAGAAATCAAAATCTAAAAACTCTAAAATCCCTCAGAAACAAACATTTCTAAACTATTAGGAATCATCCCGCGGTTAAACGTGAAAAACATCATCCCGCGTGATTAAAACCCAAAAGGCCGTTTGTTGACAAAAACAAGTCCTTCACGTGGACGCAACCAGTTCGACAGGTCTCGACAAATCAGTGCCATACAAATCTAGTTTTCTGAAAAAACAGCCTTTTGTAAGGTATTTTCTAATCTAAAGGACCTATATCTTACTTACTGTATCTTACTGGCCAGGGGCGAAACTACCGGGGGGGTGTGGGGGGGTGTTACACCCCCCCAATCCAAAAAATAGTCGATTTCGCAGGGCAATCGAAGATTTCGCAGGGCGCCAAGAAGAGCTTTATTGCCACGCAGAAATGCCACCTCTGAAGTTCGTAAAGAGCCGTTTAGGAATTTCGAAATGGAAATATCGTATTTGTTATGAACCTCCCTTCCTGACATTGCATTTTAGAGAACGGAACAGACATGTAAGGAAAAGCTCCGTTATTTGCAAAGCGAAAGCATTTCTTACCGAAAGTCATAGCCAATGGATGCACAAATTGATGCATATGTTTATGAGGGCAAGGTTGAGTCCATACAAGTTAATTTAAGTTGTAAATTATTTTCATGACAAGCACGGCGTCACTGGAGGGGAATAAGAGGCTGAAGGCCCTCACTTTGGTCAAGATAAGAATGTTTTTATCATTTTTCCTATTACTTTTTAACAGTGCATGAACTAAAAAACAGAATAAATCGTTAAGATACCGATCTTGTTTCATCTAATTGCTAACTTTTTCACGTATATTTTTATTATTTTTCTTTTATTTGCATTAATTCAGTAAATCACTTTCTGTATCATTGCAATGTTTTAATTTTGGATGTGTAAACATGGCCTTCTCGATGCAAGAAACTGCACATTTCTGTTCAGGAAATAAAATTTTCCCAATCAAAACAACATCTCCCTCTGTCATTCAAAACTACGTGCAATCTGAAACGAAAGGTTGTCGTTTCTTTCCTTCCCCAACGTCTAATGCTAAAGTTTTAGCATGACATCCCCAGGCCTTGAAAAAATATTTTCTTCCTGGCAGCAAAATAAAGAATTCAAGACTTCCTGCGAAGCTTCGAGAAAGTTTCCAGCCACTGAAATTGATATTTCAAGTTGATTGATTTGTTTAAAAATTTGTCCTAAAAACAAACTGTCACACTAGAAAGAACTAATTGTTGGTCCTGCAATCTTGATCATAGCTATTCGAACAGGAATCATTTTGTTTATCTGTATTAGATGATCAAGGAGAACGTGATCAAGCACGATACTCATAGTTTGTTTTCAAGGTTAAAGAAAGTAGATCTGAAAATCTATAATAAATTTGATTAAATTTCATGTCAGTACTAGCAAACTAGATACTTTATAAGTATTGATATATCTATACATCTTGCTCTGGGTGGGTTTATCATCAAAGCTAGTAGTTCATACAACATGTAAGAATACTATTTTATTTTTTAATGGTTAAAATAAAATTTTAAAATCAGGGGTGGTGCTAGAGGCAAAGATTTAAGACTAAAACGCTTACATTCTATAAAGCAAATGATGAAAAATATATGCGAATGCCAGTAGAAAAATACGAATAATAATGGACACATCCACACAGGTTTGGGGCATGCTCACCTTCAAAACAATTGACGTAACAAGATAGGCTGTCTTTAAGTGTTTTTACATATTTAGAATGGCGAATAATGTAATTAAATTAAATCAGTAGCTGAATATCATGGACGGAAATTTGGCATAACAGACGCTTATAATACCAGATGATTGAAAGCTAATCTTCGTTTTTTGTTAGTAGTGCAGAACAAAAATTATACAGTATGTTTGTATATCGCAAGAAAACAGCATTCCATAGAAAAATTCTAACATGAATTTAATGTTCATATTAAAACCAAGCAATGGAGATTTCACGCTAAAAATTTCCTGGCAAGCATCAACAATTTCCTGCAATGAATTTGGGCCAAAAATTTCCTATTTTTCCCAATAAACAATAATATTTTCAATAAACAAGCAGTTCTTTTAGCACAATAGTATTTTGCTAAATTTTTGTCTGAAAGATGCTTTTTAGCCCTTTTACAAGGTATAATTTCAAAAATTTTATTCACGTCGGACCCAACCATGGTGGGTCCTCCTACCTCACTAAACTTGATTCTTAGCCCCACTGGGCTAAATTTCGTCGCACTGTCTACATCATGTACCCTCCCTTCCCCCTAATTAGCTGTTTATTAGCTTGTATTTCGCAAACCAACCTTAAATAAAGTGAATATAAAAGAAACAATTTACGCTCAAGTAGAGAAATAGATATTTCATAGGCAATGAAGTTTCAAGTTTGTTTTTATTGCTTAGAAGTTTGTCCTTGGTAAAGACCAGTGTACACTGGTAAAGCTTTCACTAGTAACCTATAGACAAACCGTTGCTACGAGGTCTGCAGGGCATCACTCAGTTTTGCAGGGCAGAAACCCTTTTCACCCCCCCCCCCAAACCTATTGGCCAAGTTACGCCCCTGTTACTGGCACTTACTCTACATCTTCAAAAAGCATATCTCTTGAATCTTATTTTTTCTTACAATAAAGATGTCAAAATCTAAAAACTCTAAAATCCCTCAAAAACTCTAAACCCTCAGAAACCCAAAACATTTAAACATTCCTAAACTATTAGGAATCATCCCGCGGTTAAACGTGAAAAACATCATCCCGCGTAATCAAAACCTACAAGGCCGTTTGTTGACAGGAACAAGTCTTTCACGTGGACACAGCCAGTTCGACAGGCCTCTTCAAAGCCGTGTCAAAAAAAATCCAGTTTTACTGGAAAAACTGCTTTTTTAAGGTATTGTTTATTCTAAAAGACCATAATAGTGTTTCGCTAATTCAAATACAAACGTTGTAAAAGATAAGAAGTTTAGTAGCCTGTAAGGGGAATTGATTTTGTGGGGAAAAAATTGGGCCTATTGAGTTCAGTTATATCAGGGTAAGAAGTGTTTATACATACGCATTTTTCAAAACTGTTTATAAGTTTGAGCATTACTTAGTCTTGATACCTAGCATAAAGAAACGATCCAACTTTGCAAAACTACGTCTCAGTGCTCACAACCTCAGGATTGAAACAGGTAGACACGGGAAGAATCCTATTCCTAGGATTGATAGAAAATGTTCGTATTGTCAATCTTTTTAATAGAACTGCTGTGGAGGACGAAACGTTGCCACGCGCCAAGAAAGGTTTGATAGAACTTTGCAGATATGTTGCTATTATGGAGTCATGCATAAGTATGTCTACTCGTTGTTTTGACAGTCAAAATTGTTAAGATTAAAACATCGACATGATAAGGATCGATAGCCTATGCCAAGAATTTTCCTTCATCTTACGTATTTAGCACTTTCGTATTCAATCCAGTCTTTTATAATCAAATTGTTTATGCATGTTTGTTTTTGTTTTTTTGTCATAACGTCAATGAGACAAAACTTTAAAAAAAGCCCCAATGACAAGACCACGATAAAGGCAGTATTCTTGCAAATTTTTCTCTCGTCACTTTTACTTTTTCAACATATATTTTTATCTTGTGGGCTGCAAACCCCCTCCTCCTTCATTCAAACAAAAATTGTCTGATTTCATTCATTTTTGGTAGATATGAAGATATAAGCCCAATATCTTGATTGGTTCCAAAACGAGAGCATTTAGAAATCTGCATCTTATAGGCAAACATTTTCGGTGGCATCCTTTTCTAACCGTAACAGTTCAGATACCTCTAAAATTTGCCATAAAAATCATATATCCTTCAAAATTATAGCAAAGGGTGACAAGACCTTTACTATGTTTTGACTTATAGTATCATTGATTGACACATCAAGTTAAGTCATGCTGTGAACACACTTGACTGCTCTTATGCTTAATATGTAATGTGGCCTAGTATTATATCCTGATTGTATAAGTTGTTTTGTTATTTTCGTTCAACTGTAGTTTATCTTTCAAAATACTCTTCGTAGCATTCTAATAAAGGGTAATCAAGATACCTAAGGGTAATCAAGGGTGATGATTTAAAAAATGCTGCCATTTAATAGCTGTTGAGAAAAGGAAACTAAACATTTTGACCTTGAAGTGAAAATATTATATATATTATCTTGTTCATAGCCTTTCTTCCTACTCTAGTTATTTCAAGATGGACAAAATTGAAAATGGATGGTTTTTAGAGAAAAACAAACAATGGCCTGGACAGGTCTTTGGGCTGGAAGTAGAAGAGGTCCTGTATAGTGGGAAATCTCAGTACCAAGATATTCTGGTTTTTAAAAGGTAACAAATATGAAAATATGTCATTTATATGTATAAATACAAATTATAATTGCTCTACATAGCAAGTAGAAAATATTTTGCGGGCTATCAGGGATCTGGATCCATTATAATGTTTTATTTCCATTGATATTTAAATATTATCTTTCAAAATGATCAGGATAATTTGAAAATATAAACTGTGTGATTAAAGGGCCCAATTGCTGCTAACCTTTGCTGTAAATTTCACAAAGAAATTGCCTCATTTTCTTTTCCTTAAAGAAAATAGTATGTGTTGCAAATTACTGGGCATTAAATATATCATGCATGCAAGTCACACTTTTACAAACAAGGTCCCAAAGAGGGGCGCAGATTGCCCCAGCGTCTCAAAGTAGGTAATACAATGAATTAAATATGAAAATGGAGTTAATAACAAATAACAAAGGTCTTCTTAAAACATTTTAAATGATTGAAAGATAATAATTGCAAAAATTTATTTAATTGTATTTCAAGCTAATTTAAAGAGTGTGGTTACAGCTATATTTCACTTGCTTTTCTCCAGGGGTCCTGGTATTTCTGTTTTGCCCCAGGGCCTCTAATACCGCTTGGCAGTTTGTGTTTAGGTAATAAACAGAATACCCTTGGTTCCTTATTTGTTCTTAGAACCAAGGCCCAACTGAACCCTCAAATAACTTTCTAAAATTTCATTAATTTGACAGCAAGACATATGGAAATGTTCTGGTGCTTGATGGAGTCATCCAGTGCACAGACAAAGATGAATGTGCTTATCAAGAAATGATATCGCTATTGCCTTTAAATGCACATCCTAATCCCAAAAAGGTAGGTAGAATTAATCTTTTAGGATAATGCCTGTTTAAAACTTATTCATTGTTTTCTATATTGCCAGAACTTGAAAATTAAAAAGACTCAGTAGCACGGTATATTGAGAGGTCATTGAAAATGATCAAAAACAATATAATTGAGAAGTCACTGAGAATAACTTATAATGTAGTTATAGTCTATTGTTAAATGCAGTCAATGGAATGACCACTGAAATTCACAAGGATGTACATTGTCCTGTTCATCATCAGGTCTTGCAAGTAGAGGTGCTTGAGCTCAATGAAGCGCCTTCGGACTTGCCTAGAAAGTTCATGCTGTCTAAAAACTAAATAAGAAAAATCAAATTTTGATATTGATTGATATTTGATGATGCTCAATCAAGCACCTAGAAAGTTGAAGGTGCTCAATTTTTCAAGTGCCTACTTTTTGCTCCTCAAAAGGCCTGTTTACCATATCAGATTCCCCAGGATGCCAGACTGTCTCTAAGACTCATGCGTCCTTCTTTTCACATTCCAGACTGAGCACTGAAAATTGTTATTTTCTTGTTTTGTCTTCTTAAAACTGTGTTTCAACTGAGTTTCTCAAGCCTTAAGAATATCCCACATCCAGTTGTTAGCTATTGACAGTTGTTTGCAACACAAAAGATGCCAAATGGCAATCACATGCAAAATCCTCATGACCTACCCTTGTTGGTTGGTCATTTCTAACGTGCCCAGGTACCTGGCTGGAGCCACTTCAATATCTGTTATATATCTGTAAAGGCTCAACTTTTGATTATTATTACTTTTACAACCCATGTAATTAGCTTAATAAGATATTTCAAAGAATAAGTAAGTATTTTGTACTCTGCAGGTTTTGATCATAGGTGGTGGTGATGGTGGAGTTGCAAGAGAGGTTGTTAAACACCCTTGTGTTGAATCGGTTACTCAGTGTGAGATAGATGAAGATGTTATAAATGCTGCAAGAAAATATTTACCCAATCTGGCCATGGGTTTTGATAGTCCTAAAATGAACCTCCATGTAGGCGATGGTTTTGAATTCATGAAAAATCACCAGTCAGAATTTGATGTTATAATTGCAGATACAAGTGATCCTGAAGGTATCTTTTGTTTTAATTAAAATAATTTCTACATCCAGCTATTTTTGTTTGCAAGGTAACTCCACACTAACTCTTGTAGCCAAGAATATGTAGGAAATGAATCTCTGGCTTCTTCAAAATCATAATACTAGACCTGCAGGTAAATTTGTAAACAGTTCTTTAAGAAACATTTAGTGCCCTTACCATATAAAACACCATTCTTTGCTCTACTTCAAAAATGATTCATGAAACTGCTGCAGAAAATGTAGCTCTCTGCTATACTGTCCTGTTCATCCTTCTTATTTGTTTCTTTGTTTTCAGAACTTACTCAAAATATTCTTAACATTTTCTCTTTTTTATACTTATTTTCATTTTCTCATTCTTTGCATTCCATGTCTCTTTCAACTGAGGGTGCATTCTGGGGATCAAAAAACTGCACATGTAAACTACATATGTATGTTGTTACTGTTGTGATTCACCACACAGTATTCTTTGGCATGCCAGAACATCACCCTCATTCTTAATCTGCGGGATTCTGTATGTCAACTTCTTTGTCTTTTGTCCATTTATTTTTCTCATTCCCCTTTCTGTCCCGGTTAGATATTTTTTAGTTCTGTATAAAACTGGAATGCATAAAAATCCTGAGTATAAAAATACAAGATAAATTAACGGCATTGAGTCATGGTAAATAGGCCTTCTCTATAGGGGGTCATTTGGTTTTGGCGTGATCGCTGCTGTTTCATGTGATATTGGCATCCGTTGTTGACAACTTGCTATTGATGGAAACTGTTATGTTAATCAGTACGAGGTGAGTTCATGTGACCAGTTCCAGGTCAACCAGTGGCATTGCAGTCATGAAAATCATGACTCAGCCGATTTTGGCACTTAGGGTATACCCAATTCATTATATCATGACTCAATGCCTTTAACCATTTATATGGCTTTAAATTTTGATATTGAATAATTAGATAATCTCAATCTATTAATAAAGTCTTTTTATTAACATAATTTGCAAAATTTCTTTTTAGGGCCTGCAGAAAGTCTCTTTACAGATGAATTTTACAAACTTATGAATAATGCTCTAAAACCAGATGGTCTCCTATGTACGCAAGGTTAGTAAGGATGATTACAAAAAATATAAAGAAAATTAAAGGATGGCGAGTTGGAATTCAGGTTGAGTTCCTCTTAGCAAGGTATTATAGATTTAAAAACAGTGTCGCATAATCCATGTGGGGAAGTGAACATGTTTTGATAAAAATGAACCCAATGACAGTTAGTATGTTATAACCACTATAACTAAAAGTATGTTATATATGAATATGTTATTAACAGGGTACAATCTTTGTGTTAACTACTGACCTTTTCCTTGGATTGAAAGTATATAACCAAGTATGCTATAAGTGGATTATACTCTAGTATGGGCATTTATTTCATGCACTGAATATATATGCTGTTTCTATTATAGGAGAATGCATGTGGATACATTTAAAACTGATCAAAGAAATGAAAACATTTTGTAGAAGATTATTTCCTGTTTCATCGTATGGAGCTATTTCAATACCTTCTTATCCATGTGGAACAATAGGATTTATGATGTGCAGTAAAAATATTGAGACAAATTTCAAGGAACCACTGCGTATTTTCACTGAAGAGGAAAAGGAAAAGATGAAGTTACGATATTATGATGAAGATGTCCACAGATCAGCTTTTGTATTACCAAGATTTGTCAAAAAGGTTTGTCAATATATGATAAATTTTTGAAGTACCTTTTTTTCTGTGTCAAAAATATTTGTGCTAACCATTAATTGGACAAATGTTTAAGAGATTTTGCACATCCCCTCTTTCCAGTTCAATGAAGCAAAATGTACAAACCATAAAGAAACACATGAAGAAAAAACACAGGGTACAACATACTTGTCTAGTCATTTACAATTTACTCCCTGTTATAGCATTCCCTTTCTTTGGCTCCTCAAAAGAAAGTCTTTCTGTTAAACAACATACCACACTCAGATGAAATCCTTCAAATGACAACTTTTTCTGCTTTCTTTAAAAACAATTGTGACTGATTTGTAATTAAGTCACTGTGTCGAGCAATCAATCAATCTTTTACAACATACTTTAGTTTAGTAAATCAATTCAAAAACTGTTTGCAGCTTTCCAGTGATTTCTTCATTTTGTCATGGAAGCAAACAAATTTGAAAATAGTGGAGGATATATGAAGCAGGCATGTCACAACTGCACATGTAAATAAGGCAATGACATGCACCTGACATGACAGCATTAAAACAAGTGCTAATGGTGATTGTTATAAAGACTAGATATCATTGTGAGAAATAGCTTTAACAGAATCCTGGTTATATCTAGATTCCAAGTTATGACAAATCCTCCTTGGCATGAGCAAAATAGTCTAATTCAACTTGCAAAAAACAAAGGAGCCCACAATTAATAGCAATTTTATATAGAGACCTACACACTGATTTAATGCCTCCATATTTCATTTATTCAGGAAATTGGCCAGTGAAGATTGATGATACAAGATGTATGACACATCACTTCTGGAAATTGGGCCTTGTCTTAATTTGTTTTATTAAAATGGAATATTGTCGCAAAGTATTTATTGTTTCTTACACCATTTTCTTGTCAGCAATAATGGCCCATTGTCTGCTGGAACTCACAATTTTGTTAATGTTGTCAAGCAGATTTCCCAAGAATTTCCTTTCTACCTTTAAAGGGATGATATTTGGGAGCATGCTCTTAGTAAACTGTAGTCTTTTAGTAACAAATAGTTTTTTGCTTTCATATAGTTGGTAGAGATAGGATTATTTTTAGGGATTCTACAGTTATGTGAAAAGGATTGACAATGGGCTTTAAAGACAATTTCTCTTGCCATGGACCAAAATGTGTAGCAAGGTCATGCTTAAAACTCTGGACCTAGCTCCTAAGTATCCATACATGAGTGCACCTCATCAATCAAAGGGTAAAACATGGCAAATTCTCAAATGTTGCTCTAATTGTGGAACCACTCTTCTGCAATGGCAGAAAAAACTTTTCAGCTTGTAGTCATTGAAGTATGAAATATCAGATTATAGGTTGGCCATAAAGTATTAGCATCAAAGGGCTCATTCAAGAACATATGCTACATATTGCACTACCAGTCCAAAGGGCACGACAACTGTTACTGTTTTGAAACCTGATGCAGCATTGCCATTGCAACAATTGCTGCTAGAGCTTGTGAAGTGGGATTTTGTCATGGTTCCTATCAGGTATTGTTGATTTCTACCAGAAGGAAGATGTGGCCCAAAAAGAAAGAGAATGGGCTGTGACACGTATATGCATCTACTATTTCATGTCTGATGATTATTTTAAGGAAACTATTTAGATTAATTTGCTTCTGGTATATAACTTTGAAAACTGCTCCAAAATGAAACATTTTGACATCCCAAAGTACCCATACTATTTGTTAAAGTCAAACTAAATTTTTTTCAATTATTGGTTGACTTAACAAGGCTTGGTCAAAAATCTAGAATTTTCCAAAACAAACAGTAAAAATCACCGTTTTTATGCCTAAGCTCCTTACTTATTTATAGGGTTGGTGACTGCTATTTGGTGGACACAAGAGTCAATAATGTGTCATTTTCCTCAGGCCTTGCTTTCTAACCGCATCTGGATACCGGATTTTCTCTAAAGATTATATTACAAAATCCAAATTCTGGATGTGGCGTTTATCAGAGGGCAGCGTTTAATACTAAATGAAAAATGACAAGAGAAGTGCGTTGAAAAAAAGATAAAAACAGACTTTTAAACACTGTTTCTCTCCCAAAAGCACGTAATAAAGACTGGTGAGAAATTTTTTAAACTTCACGTTATGAAAATGTCAAGGAATATCAATACTCCTGTTTCCGTCAGAGTCCTCGTCTCTATGACATGACAACTTTAATAGCTTTCGAATAGTAAATGATAAACTATTCGTTACCTCTTGTTTGGTGTGGTTTTGGCGTTCATTAGAGGGCGGCGTTTATCAGAGGGGGCGTTTATCAGAGGGGGCGTCCATTAGAGGAAATACGGTATAAATTTTGTTGCCTTTGTGGTCATGGTCAACTTTCCAGTCTCTTGAGTCGGTCTGAGTCATGCAAAGACCGCTTTAGTAAAGTGGCCGTTTGTTTTTAACAAACTTGTAATATTGCAGTATCGTAAGTGAAGACATTTTTCAAATCTGAAGTAATTTGCAATCAAAATTTAACTGCTATAACGATGGCAATGCTTTCAGTCCCTCGTACCTGGTCTAAGATTGTAAGATGCAAGAATTACAATGCAGAGCTCAAGTTGTTACAAACTGGATAGATTTTTCCCGAAAAGGAATTATTTCCGTCATCCTATTAACGCCCTAGCAGGCCTTTATGATGTCACAAGAGACAAGATAATACCTTTGAATTTCATGCAGGTAAAAAAGCGAAAAATTGGACTATTTCTTCTACTATACAATTTAATTAAATGAGTAATACAGCCTCAATCTAAATTCTATGTAATTGACCTATTTACACAATTGGGGTGACGCAGCTCGAAATTACCCTTAAGGGTGTCAGATGCACCATTTTGCCCCCACTACAAATTACTGATACACTACTAACTCCTTTTCAAAGGCAACTTATGACAATATGGAGCTGGATGTTTGGGTACAAAACTTCGAGTATGAGAGTGGAAAACAAATGTCTTGAGTCATTGGAAATAACATGGCAAGATGATAGCGTAAATTATCAGTGAACTTCGTATAGAGGTTCTCTACTCATACAACAGGCAAAACCCAGTCCTAAGGGGATAAAAAGAAACTCGACATGTATTTACAATTTAACTGAAGTTTCTACTAAATGACAACTCAAGTAGTCTTGTTGTATGCTTCGGTTGCAAATTGTTACTTGACTTGCAACAATCTCCCGGCACTTTATTGGAAAGCAATCATATTTGAAAAAACAAAGATTGCGGGCAATGATGTCGAGGGAACATTGGACCAACTGAGACTAGAAATGCTAGGCATTTAAGCGCAGGACCATTTGAAGGGACTGCCTAGCGCTTAAGCTCAAACAAGTGTCTCTATTCAAAGACTGCAATTTGTGATTCCAAACTTTATCTAGACAGATTATTCTAAACTATCCTGTTTAAAGGCCATATTTTCTATAAAAAAAATAAACAAGTAATGTATGTCGTTTCATAAGAAATGTATGGAATGAAATGAAAAACGAAATGAAGGCTGGACAGAGCTGATTAATGGCGGCAAAAGGGAGGACTGGGGTGGACGAAAAGTAGAGGAAAACGATATAACGTATTTCCAGTAACAAATAAATAAAACTCTAAGTATGGTTGAACATCTACCAAACAACTCCCAGCGACGGACAGCGCCTAAAAACAGACACCTCAAAACAACAGGAAAACAAATCAGTTGCAAAGTTTAGTTTTGCAGCCTTACAGAAACGACATCTAAACAGTGAACACCTGGAGAGCGGACACCTGGAGAGCGGACAGTCATCTGGTATCTGATAAATGGTTCACTGCCTTTGACTGCTCTATTGAAAATTGCACAATATTCAACCTAAACCTTGTAAAATCATTCAACTGTTGACCACAGGAAGATGATTAGCATTGAACAATCCAAAAAAATAACAGAGGCAGTCCTATTCAGAGCCATTGTGACAGCTATTCATCTTAACAAGAAATCTGACGACCGCTTGAGTGTGCACCATAATCCCAGCGTCCCTAAAACAACTTTTTACATCCAGACAAGGCTACGCGCCACTAACAATATACTGCACCATCTACATAATCTGCTGATAAATTAATTTAGGACCTTAATTTAAATTGTATTCATAACGAGTAACCTAAGCTATTTAAAGGTTTCATTCTTGTTTGATTTCTCGTTTGAGTCTTTTCCGTCCGGTTTCTTCAACAAACCAAGATCAGAAGCTTTCTCTCTTATCAATGACGACATCTTGGCGGCCAAGGGCGACGACTTTCCAGATGAATGGCTAAAGCTCGGGCTACTAGCCGCTGGTGAACGATCAACATCTTCTGCCAGGTGTGGACTATGACTAGATGTCTTTAAAGTACCAGGAAACGAGGAGCTGTGTGGTAAATCTCCAAGGTGACCTGCCTGAGCTGGCCCAACTATAACTTTTGTGCCAGTGCCAACAGAAATAGACGGTCGATCAACAGTGGGTGATGTACCATAAGCCACTGCTGGGTGCGGCACTGATGTTAAAACACCAGGCGTCAAATGTGCCCCCACAGCATGCTGCCCCACAATATGAGGTGGAGTACCAGTAAAAATTGTTGTCGCAGTTGTTGTTATTTGCCCCCCTGTTGCCAGGCGACTTAATATCGCCCGTTCAGACATTCCTAGCCTGTTCGTAATGGGCGGCATCTTTGCAAGCGATGAAGGAAGACGGGCAACGTCACCCTTCATGTCAGACAGCAAAGACTCGAGTTGGTTTAGTACTTTGTGTAAAACAGCATTTGCTGGTTTGTTACCTTGCAATGACTCTTTGGAGAGGTGCTGATGACTTTCTGCCAAACATTCCAGCTCTGCGAATCTACGAGGAAATAAAAATGGCGCATCATGCTTTCTGTCGATAGTTTTGTGTCCTGTTAAGGCCAGTTTACATGATGCCAAACACAAAAGTTTTTTGCATGCGTAAGCTGAGAACATATGATGCCGAGACAGATCAGGCCATCACAATTTGCCCTCGATTAAGAGGAATTCTTAAAACGCACATTCAAGACACTGCTTTGTCAAACACGATCAATGTGGAGCTGAAGACAAAATTTTCTTGAAGAGCTACATCTCAAAAAAATCAAAATTGAACACTGGAAGTTTTGAAGACCTCTTCTCAAAAGTTGGCAAAAGTCATATCAATCAATATTTGTTCATGTGTTTGCGTATATCAAAGCAACCATTGAGTGAGTTTTTGGCCAGGTTAGTGAGTTTTCAGTGGATTAAAGAGCACACAAGAGGAACTGGGTGGCGTTGACTTTGCCTCTCGCTGTCGATTATGTGACGCCTCTTACATTTCCCGCCCCCTCCCTCTACAGCACAACGACCATTAACAAATATTCGAACATACCGCGACTGCAACGCCATTCCTGGGTGGCTGTTGTCCTGTTTGACGTTCATAAGGGTAGCCCTCCTCAGCTGCTCCTCAACGATCAATGCTTGCTCAAGCAACTACAATATTAATGATTACCTTTGAAAATCTAAATCATGTTCAAATGGAAATCGAAACTTATATTATCACACCAAATTAAGTACCTATATGGCAACCTTGACAAAATATCTAGAAAAACATATGTTCGAGAAATCGTGCAATAAGCAATCGTTATATATCAATAAGACTTTAAACCACAACCTATTCTAATAAGGTGAAAACGCAATTTCAAATTAAATCCTCAAGCACCTGCCTTGTTTCAAATAATAACCATCATTTAGAAAATGTAGGGCTTTTGAGCGAAGGGGCGTTGCCAGATAGCTTACAAAGCTTTTGGTATATGGTGCAAATCCAGCAACAGCACAATTATTAAGTGAATGAGAGCTAGCTTGAGCAAGGGGAGATGTTAAATAAATGAGGAGGGGAGATATTAAGTGTGGTAAGATTACTGATTGTTGGTTGATGTGAAAAATATGAACAAACCTTGAAACGTCTAGCAATGAACTTATTCTTGTAATCAATTGACACTAGAAAAAAGACATGTGACGATAAATTAATATACAATGTAAGTTTTAAAAACGGTCCAGAAAGATATCGCTGAAAGCACATTTATTCAACCTGTCCTTTGTCATTAAATTCTCCTGCTTTAGCAAACAAGTCAGACAGTATGAATACAGAAAGCATCACTGATGCTTGAAAGGGCATCATCAATTCAAAATATTGCATCATTCTGTCTGCTAAAGCAGAAGAAATATCATATGTAGTATATAAATATTGAAATGCATGATGCTGGTGGACTTTGAAATCGCCAAGCAAATCAAGAGCCCCATAAAACAAAACGGAAACAAAGGAGATAAGTGCTTCATGTAAGGAGGTATTATTCCCTGTCAGTAAAGTCGACAGGAGAGGGGAAAAAGCTAACAGCCTTAAAAGCATTTGACACAGGTAAAAATGGCTTACAACCACTCGACCACGAGCGGTTGACCAATCAAACTGCGCATAGAGAAAAACACGTGAACAGTTTCCGTCTTTCTGCAAATCGGTGAAATCCTAGACCAAGGTTTCATGTGAGCAGTTTCTAATTCCTTTCTTGTGCGCGTGCTCTGATCACTTTGGCCTAAGGTATTTTTGGATTCGCTGTACTTAATGGTGGATAAAGGAATTGTCAAACACCTTAATGGTGGATAAAGGAATTGACGAATGACACTGGTATACATCAGGCAAATGCTCCTGAATATACAAATATGTCCACCAGCACTAAGCATTAAGTGATTGAGGCAGATTGAGGAGACTTAGAACATTACAAAAGATAACTTACTGCGTAGAAACGGCTTGTTGATTGTATCAAAACGTGGGTCGTTCTGAATATCTTGCCATCTACCATAACCATGGCTATTTATGAGTTAAAGAAACTTCAGTGATGTGGTACGTGGATATCAATCAAAATTAGCGATTCTTACTGCACCAAGGATGTCCCTATCAAGAATGTCCTTGAAACTAATGGATTTCTAGAGATATTTATCGAAGAATCGACTGCGATTGCTATGAACAAGTAAAACAGTGCGTTTTATGAATGCGTTTTATGTCTGCAATATACAGCATAATAAAAACATGAAGTATACAGAAAAATTCTGTTTGAGATTGACTAAGAGAAGAGTAAAAAATGATAACTCAAAGGATACACAACAGCTCCAACAAGCAGCCAGTAATCGTGGTATCTCCACCATATATTATCATATTTTCTTTTTTCTTCAGCCTCCCAAAGAACATGGAGCTCCGTAAAGCCTCCATCTGCGATATTGAACATAAATTTTGGCAGTTCCTTTGTAGTTGATGCCCCTGTAGTACTGGAGGGTCTTGAGGATGAGCTCTCAGACACTGAGCTGGGGGTGGCTGGTTTCGAGTTTGAAGATTTATTCTCTGGTTTCGGGACGGCTGATAAATCACTTTCAGATACCTTGCTGTCACCATTTTCTGCAGTATTTTCTTCATTCTTCTTCCCTTCTTTCTCTTGTTCGCTATTATCAGCAACATTTGTTTCTCCTTTCTTTGATTCTTCCTTCTCTTCTTTACACCCCTCTTCCTTTTTCTGGTCCTCCTTCTCATTGCTTTCGCCTGCGTCCACTTTACTTTTGTCTGCCACCTCCTTTTCTTCTTTTGATATAGTTTCTTGTTCACCATTTTCGGCTACTTCCTTTTCAGACATCTTCGAATCGACATCGTCCTTCATTACCACATCATCGCCGCCATTTTCATTCACTTCAACAACTTTTTTTATTGCCTCGGCATCACTTTTGGTATCTTGCGAATCTTTGCTTTCCTTTTCGTCACCTTCAATAGTTAATACTTTTATGTAAATACAGACGAAGAGTAGTTTAACTGAGCCCATGACAGGGATAACCTCGACATGGGATCGACATAGAATATCGAAGTTCGTTTCTTCATTGATAAAATCCAAACTACAATGTGGAAGTTTCATATCACAACTGTGGGTTGCAATATCCACAAATGCCACATTGGAAAGAACCTCAATAAAAAATACTTGATAACTCAAGCCGAATGTTTTTGCATTCCCCTTGAACATATAATACGTTCCAGTACCCGATAACTCAAACTTTCGTTAACTCAAACATTTTCATCGCCACCTTTGAGGTATGAGCTATCAAAATTTTACTGCATACCCTCAAGTACGAAATAACAAGCACCCCCTCTGTGTCTTGGGAGATTTTCTAACTAACCTCATTTATTCCAGACCCCGGTCTACTCTGGACTCGAGAGCATTTCACCGCATTAACTATCACAAATTACGACATGTTATGCACAAGTTTCAGGCCAATGACTGGCATTAGCTAAATTATTTAACATAATAACACACCTTTCGTCTCGCTGTTCTCCTTCTTCTCATCTGAGGCTGCATCATCACCTTTCTGATCACTTTTCTGATCAGCTTTCTGATCACCTTTCTGATCACCCTGCAAAGACATTACAATAACTGAGCTTTCTCGATAAATATGGAGAACATGAAAAAAGAAACTTTGAAGGGAATGGAACAGGCATTAAAGCTTCTGGGTTTTGACCATAAATCAAAAATCGTACAGAGAGGATAGAAAGAAGATTAAGAAAAACCATGATCAGCTGGTGGTGCATGACAATTTTGTCATCAAATAATGTCAGCACAGGTCTGTGTTGGTCATATCATCATATCATGGTTTAATCAAACTTTTGTTTCACATAGAAAAATAAAACCTCCAGTATTGAACATCTTCCAACAAAAGAAAACTCAAAACAAGGAACAAATAACTTTACAAAAGTTCTTCGATGTGTCCAATGTCCTGTGAGGTTGATCCTAAGACTAAAGAAACAGATTCACCGCTGCACTTCCTGACTGATGACATAACAAATTATTACCTTAATTTCCTCTTGCTTGTCATTAGTACTGGCCGTAGCAGTTGGGGCTGGGGTAGCGCTTGGTGTTGCACTAGGTGTCATGGTGATAGGAGAGACTGTGCCAGATTCGTTTATAATTGTATGTATGAATGTGTTTACTGCTGCAAACTCGTCGACCTGTTGAGTAGAATGGAGCAACACTTGGTTAAATACCAAATAAAAAGGGACTTGATGTTTCTGAGATACTGCGACATTTATAAAATAACATTTAAGAAGATAGGGAAGTGTTTTTTTGAGAAGAAGCCACTGTAACCCATTACACGTTCAATTAGGGTTCGAAAGATGCGTCAGTTCAAAGTAGACATTGATGTAGTTAACTCCTAAAAGAACATCAAAACATCATAGAAGAATGATAAGGAAAGCACTGCGCGGTGAGTTAGATGGGAAGAAAGATGGATGCTTGAACAGTTATGACAACGGCAGACAAGAGAAGAACCATGAAAGACAAAATGCAAGTCTTTCATAATGGTGGAATTATCAAGATCGCTGCATTGTTCATTTGCCATGAAGAAAACTTTGAACATTTAACGAAAGAGACAAATACATTCCTCAAAATTCGCAGTTTATGGGCTATAGGTTTATAAACAGACAAAAACAACACTCTGGTTTCTTGGAATCAAATTACTTTATAAAGTTATACTTATAACTACTGATAACTAAACTTTCAAGTAATTCATCCGTTGCCCTTACAACAAAAGAACTTCTCATTAGGGGGGAGGGGGTGGGGCAATTGACCGATAACCCTTGGCAGTGCAGTGGTTGAATGCAATGTTGCAGCGGCATATGAAACAGACAAAACATAAACACGTGAAGTACAAAAAAGTTAAGAAAAAAAAGAAATAAAAGTTATTGAAGCTGACCTTTCGCTTTATAAGGCTCATGATACCGATTCTTGAAAGAACTTGCATTCTGTTGACACCCTCGCGTGGAACACCATCACTGTAGGTGTCAGTTTTGTCTGCACCAGGCTCGCACAAATGTCGTAGGAACATGGCAGTGTAGGCCCTGAATAGAACAGAATAAGCCGTTCAAAAACTTTCTGTCTGTGTACATTTAAATAAAAAAGTATTAGCTAACGACAAAGCGTCATTTTTAGTATCAAATAAAGATTTTACTCACTGAAAAGCTCTCTCTGACTTTCCCCTAAGATTGTGAATGCACCTGCGATAAGCAAATGAAATAATCACAAAATGTCGAATATCTTTATCAAATTAAATTAAATCAGAAAAAGAAATTGAGCATCTAGAAGATTTTTCATAGCCAATATATTGCTGATAAAATATACAAAGCATCAGGAATGTGGCAATCCTTGCTCGACTTTAAATCTTGATCAAAAAGTCTTGTGACCAAACCATCTGAACTATCAAAAACTATCCATACATGCTGCCAAAAATAAGGGTTACATTTTTTAATTGCACAAACAAGACTTGTAGGGGAATGCTAAGGGAAATTACAAGGGCGATCCTACAGTCTAGCCAACATCTACCCCCGCTCCCCCCCCCCCCTATGCATTTAAAGCGGGAGCTGATGTGTTTTAATAGCAGATATATAAACTCGAACTATAGAATGGGGATGCAAGATCAAGAAAAGCTGAGCTATGTTAAACGGTGAGTTGGTTAAAATCCATCAAGCAGAAGATGGCAATGCAGCAAAAACGTAGGATAGTAATTATGCACGGATTAGGATTTCCTAACCATTTGGCCTTGGCGACTTTGAAATCCTTCGGTGGCAGTCCATAACGCATGACAGCCGTAAGATAGGACCTTCGCTGTCTGGGATTGAAACCATACACCTGGAAGTAAGAAAGCTGCGGTGTCACAGAAACGAATACTGCAATGCAAGGAGACGTAAATGCAAACAGACATACATAGGAGCAGTTACACAAACCTATTGGCTTACAGTCAGACAGTATGAATACAAGAACTTTCACTGAAGCTAGTCTAAAGATGTAAAGTATGCATCATTCTGTAAGCCAGTTAGCAGAACTTAATACTGGAAATGTTCCGCATAACTTATCAATATATTTCTTATCAATATGCAGCATCTCAAAAGGATGAGCGGTTATCTCAACTTTATAATAAGCTACCTATAAAATTTACCACAAAGTACAACGCACTTATTCATTTATTCAAATTTGTAAAAAAACTCTTCGATATCATTTCAAGAAGCCTCCATTGTAATGCCAGAAATTAAGTGTGCCTCCGACCGGCGGTCACTTGCTCGCGCATTTTTCCCAGCCATGCGAGCGGTTATCTCAGTTACATAATAGTTTACCTATAACGCACTTATTCTCTGCAGACGCAAAATTTTTGTTCCTAGAAAGCATGGGCAACCCTTAGGCCCTGACTGTTTCAGCCATCTACTTGAAAACAGACGTTACAATTCCACCCGAAATCAAGTATATTCTCAAACCAAAGTTCTGGGAAATGCCTCGACAAAAACGCCTCACGAAAGCCATCGTCGTTAGCAAGGCGTATTTAGCTGATCAATATCACGTAGTCTCACCTCAATATGTCCACCAACCCTTGACAACAATGGCGGGAGGTCGTTCTTCATTTTACCTTTGCGACCTTTTCCTGTAAATAATAGAAAATTAAATCAAGACAAATAAAGTACACTTAAACCTAGTTTTACAAGTTTTGGATACAAATTCAAATAACAAGGCGTGAGATGAAACTAAGACCATATTATTACTGAAAGTACCTATATACTATAAATATGTATGACGGGGGGAACAAGAGTTGCAACTTAGAGCTGTCCTGTTCTGCAACAACCAAAGAGTGTATAACGAAATGTCTGCAACAACCTTTTGGATCACAGACAATTGAAAACACACAAACCTTTTTTCTATTTTACACTTTTATATGACATAAAATTAAGCTGCTTGCCACACTTTACTGTTAACTGGCATACAAAGACTATGAGAGAGAAAGCGTTTAGCCCAGGTGTCACTACGAAAAACTTCACTAAGAGGACCATTTTGGACTGTTTCGGTTGGAAGAGCCAAGAAGAGACAAATTAGTTCCCAACAGACACCAAAATAGCAAGATGAAAAAACGCAGCAAGCCTGTTTACCTTCCTTAATGCCGATGCTGTCGTCTTCATCCTCGTCATCGTCGTCATCATGATAATCATCACCATCGAAATCTGAGCCGTCGTCCACTGTGAATAACAAGCGGGCTTAAAGGGGATAAAATGGGTAATAACAAAACATTAAAAAATCAAGATTGACTGAAAAAGATGGATAATGAAAAAATGAATAATTCTGGATGGAAAAGCAAATCTTAATTTTCATTTATAAGTTATGTAAACACGGGAAATCTTTATATTTCTAGTCAGTTGAGTTTATTTTTAAGTGAACGCTAACCTAAAACAGCACGGTGGAAACTTTCCTTGGAAATGTCCCCATCCAAATACAATAATATCCATTTAGTGAAATTTATCAGTGCGCTGACAATTTGCCCTTCCATTGATTAGTTAATACGCATTTTTCAGTCTGAAATAAACTTTATCAAGGAACTCACATGGTCCAGGGTCCATTATAGTGCCATCGACATAATTGACCTGAAGAAAAATTACAATTTTATACAATACACTTCTATGCAATGACTTTTCAAAGTAAATAAAAATGGAAAAATAAATCTAATCACATTGGCGTCACTCTCACATCTCAAGATAATTTTCTCAAATTTCTTAGGCAAGCATGGATGTCTTTGAGTAATCTTGCATTTTCCTTGGACATTTACTACTTTCTTTATCAACTTTTTACTTTTTATAAAACGCAAAAAAATTGTAAGGTCAATCAGTCATACTGTTGTCTTACTAAAAACATATATGAAACTTAGTATGATTCACAGTAATAACTTGTGGTTCAACCAACCTGTTTCCTTGCCCGTTTTCCCTTCCCAAGTGTACTTGCAACGTACTCTTGCTCCTGTTCATAATGATGACGTAACAGCCTCTCCCAGTAGGCATGATCCGGCTTCTCGGCCTCTTGCTGAAGATTTAAGCGAATCAAATTGAGGCTATATCAAATGAACTAGCTGTGTCAGCAGGTAAAATATTTTGGTGAAATCATCTGATAATAACAGAAAAAAGCGTTTCGCAGCCAATGCTTCTGATGTTTTATTTGGACTGCATATAGAAATTATAGGTTCGTCTTCATCTTCCTTTTTTTCAAATTCTACCAACTTTCTTGAAAGCCAAAATTTTTGAAATTTTAGAAAACAATGTAACATAGGCAGCAACTAGAGACCCATTTGTTTATGGATACAGATAGACTTATAAAATTTTACCTTAGAAGAAGCAAACGCACAAATTGGATGATTTACCTTAAGAACTTCGACATCACTATCTTCACCCTCGTCTTTGTCTCTCACGACATAGCTGGCAACCTGATTGCAAAATAAAAGCAATATCGACTGTGAACAGAATACGCAATAATGGATTAATAAAACCAAGCAACGGTCTTTTTAAGATGTGCAAGTTTTATACTGCCTACAATTCAAATACTCATGGATTGTGGCCCTGACTACTTGCAACTAATTCAATCTAGCAACTTCTGATGACACCCATAGGCTTGTATCTATCCTTTGAAAGGACAGAGCAGTGGGCTTGAGGAGTAACCACTACCTCATCCATAGAAGTTGCAACTTTTCGAATCTATGTTTGCATTGAATGGATATGCACCAGCTTCAAAACGCTGTAAGGCTTTAGATACTAGCTTCTCAAATAAGTTTCAGAAAATTACTTCAAAGAAAAAGCTACGACCGAAAACGTAAAACGGCCACTTACAGGGCAATGAAATCCCAATATGTAATCAGAAGAAAGAGTTTCTGAATGAGTGATAAGTGAATTCATTGAAAATCGAAGAAAACATTTTCCTTTCGTTATATTTTCTTGTCAAAACAAAAATTGATTATCGGAGGTTGAATGCAGAGAGTTTTTTCAATAGACAATCAGATAAAAAACGCTCAATTAGAATCACTAACAGATTTCTGGCACTGGACGCGTACAACATCATGAAACTTTTTATAAATAATTTTCAACTTTTGTCGTCTGTGACGTCAAAGAGACTGGAAGTGGGCAACACACCTTGAAAGAAGAGAGGTATTCGTTCATAGAACTCTCTTTCTGCTCAATTCCTTCGTTTGACCGATCCAAGAGTTCTTCAACAGCCTTCATGTCATAGAAAATTTGGCCAGAATCGTTCGATACTGAAAGAGACAAGTAAGAGCAATCAAACAGAGCAACTCGCTTGGCAAGGTAGAGTACTTGTTCATAATAATTTCTAAACTCATGAATGTATTGTACTACTCTATTACACGAGAATGGAATCAAGCGGCACAAATAAAAACAGCCTTTATCAATAGGGGCTTATAATTCAAGGCAGCTAATTTTAAAAGCATACTTTGTATGACCCAATCAGGTTCCTCAATATATCCTTCTCGTGGTCCCGACTAATGTATGTGTGGCTTAAAATTAACCCTTTTAATGTAACTAATGAAAGAAATGACTTAATCAAAATGCACCTTAGTTTGGTGCTGCTGCAGGGACAAAGTCTATTGTTGTTCTCTCCATACACTGCATGGATATGCGTGCTTCCAACCTTGAATATTTACACAACAAAAAACCCATAAAACTTGCTGCCTCTTACCAATTTCGTCATCCTTAAAGAGATCCTCAGTACCGAACCGCAATATGTCATCGAGCTCTCCTTTCGACATGACGGCTGATTTCTGCCCTATTCCAGGCCTGACTACGAGATGAGTCAACATCATCTTTTTCTTTGCAACTTGCGTGATTCGTTCTTCGACGGAGCCACGTGTCACAAAACGGTAGATCATAACCTAAAGAACGTATTGGAAAGTAAATAACAAAACAGTTGTGGAGCAGATTATCAAACTTAATCTTTGAAGCAAGCTGTATAAAATTAAGATAGTTAGTTAATGTATAGGACCTGTATGGGAACAGTAAAGTCTCCAAATTGTAAAATTGAGTTACTTTCTGCAATGATGTTTTATTACTTCAGTCTTAATAAGAGAATAGCCTTGAAAATACCTTATTTCGTTGTCCTATACGGTGAGCCCTGCTGAAGGCCTGGATATCATTGTGTGGATTCCAATCGGAATCATAAATAAAGACTGTGTCAGCAGTTGCAAGATTGATGCCAAGGCCACCCGCTCTCGTTGACAACAGAAATGCATGCGTGTCGGATGCTGGCTCTGCAAAATGGTTCAAAAATATTTTTAAATGAGAGAAGTTAACGTTGACAAAATACGTATGGAAATAAATGATTTTCAACGGAACATGTTTGATAGTTAGCACAATCGTGAAGAGTAACTACTTAATATAATCCATTCATGAAAAAACTGAATATGCACTGAATATCAAATCTTTTTTTAAAATAACAACAAATGGAATAACTTGAAATCTTATATCACTCCTACAGGTCTACTTAGGACCCAGCTATATTAGCAACGCTAGATTAAAACGTATACTACAGCACTGCGACAGCAAAATCAACAATAACAATATCAACTAACCATTGAACCTATCAATGCTGGCCTGCCTGACACTCCCTGTGATCGAGCCATCAAGTCTTTCGTACTTCCACCCGTGTCCTTCCATAAAGTCCTCCAATAAATCAAGCATTCTCGTCATCTGTGAGAATATGAGCACTCTGTGTCCCTCTGCAAATAGCCTTCGCAGCATTTTCTCCAGCAAAACTAGCTTGCCACTAGCCTCGCTTAACTCCTTTGCCCGGAAAGCATTATGCGGTGGCACCCTGGGTGCCTCTTCTGCAGCCATTGCAAACAGGTACGGATGATTACAACACTTCTTTAACTCCATCATTATGTTCAAAAGGGAGACGGGGGTCGAACCTTTCAAATTCAATGCTTCAAAGTTTTTAGTTAAAATATACTTGTAAAACTTTTTCTGGACGGGGGTTAGCTCTACCCTGACAATGAACTCGCTCTTCGTGGGTATTCCCTGCAGTACGTCATGCTTCAATCTTCTCAACATGTGAGGGCCTAAGATTTCATGCAATTTTTTAATTTGATCTTCCTTAGCTATGTCTTCAAATTCTGAAAGGAAGAAGTTCTTGTCATAAAATTCTGATGGCGAGAGAAAGTTCAGTAGATGAAAAAGCTCTTCTAAATTGTTCTGTAACGGCGTGCCCGTCAGCAGTAGTTTGTATTCCAGGGGGTATCCATTAAGAATTTTAAAGAACTTTGATTGGCTGTTCTTGAGCCTATGGGCTTCGTCGACAACGAGGACCGCCCAGTCAATTGACTGCAAGGTGTTTGCATCAATAGAAACCAACTCATATGACGTCAGTAGCGCGTGGAACTTCACGGGACTGTCTTTCTGCAAAAAGGTAGAAGACGGTGTCAAAGAATCGCCATATTTTAATATGAATGCTAACAAGCTTGGATTTTCAACTGTCTTAAAGTCGAATCTAACAAAAATTGTAAATCTAAGCTGGGATGCTGATACAGTCTGATTGTCAGGTACACAAAGCTTGGAGCTTGGAGCAAACTCAAAAAGGTTCTGAACGAGTTAAGCCAATCTACCTTCATTTTGTATGGCTTCTTCCCTGCTTTCACGGCATCCTCGTCGAAAGAAAATTCGTAATTTCTAAAATTAAAAAGGTTTAAGAATCTCAAATATGAAGAAAGGTAATGCTTCAATGTAAAAAACCAAATTAAATGCCTAAAAAGCAATGAAAAAAATAATTTTACCGAGCCAAGTGAAGAGGTTCATTGAACCAATCTCAGTAATTTTAAACCAGAAAAATTCAATCGTGGTCAGTCTTCATAAAAAGTTTTCTTAAGGTCAGAGCGTCAGCCCCATGTTGTTAGATTGAAGAAAAATCTTGTGAAAACTTAACCCATTTTAACTACTGAACTGTCTCTCTTTGCTTTGCGAGTTTACTATTCAACCTTATCAAGCGGTGCACACCCTAATTTTCTTACCTTATGACCGCTCTGTTGTCCCTGTCTCCAATGTAGGTGACCACGTACATGTCAGGTGCCCAGAATTCGAATTCACGCTCCCAGTTGATAATTGTCGACAATGGGGCAGATATTAGAAAGGGGCCTTGGCTGTGTCCCTGAAAATGACAAAGTCAGAAAATGAACATCACAAAACTATGGCACAAAGCTTATTATTCATGACCAATTAGATGTGCATAAAATGAAAGCTGTTGGCCGTTGAGAACACTGCCACAAGGATACAATTTCAAAGATACAATTTTCAATATCCTGTAAAAAGCACCACCTAGTAGGATTAAAACTTTATTTCTATCTCGACTGTAACTGTGATCGCACTTACTGCTTGGTGATCGTATTAAGTGTGAAACTCGTAGTCGTTTAATCATTTAATCATTTAATCATTCAATCATTTAATCATTTAATCATAGATACCCTCATCTAGTTCGATTCACCTTATGGAACATTAAAAACATTAAAAAAAGTTATCAACTGCCAATTACCTTTCTAATCATGTGGCATAAAAAGCCGTAGTGAGTAAGGTCTACATATAATAAACGCGTAAAATAAAAAAATTATAAAGGATTACCTCTTTAAACAGACTATACAAAAAGGCAATTGTTTGAATTGTTTTCCCCAGCCCCATTTCGTCTGCAAGAATGGTATTAGTTCCCTGTGACCAAGAAAACCTGAGCCAGTTGAGTCCTTCTAGCTGGTACGGATGCAGCTGTCCCTCATTGGCATCCAGGTATGCTGGCTGCTTTTCATACTTCTCTTCACACTGGATAAGCAACATGACTTATAGATTAGCGCAAAGATTCACATTGGATTAAAGATTGGTTTTAATGAAGTTGATTCCCCATTACTTCATAGACCAAGAATTTTCTGGTGCAGAAGCGTGCAAAAATTGCAGGCCATGATTTCTGAACTCTTAGAAAAGGAGTAGATCAAGGGGTGGGGTAATGATGAAGGCGAATCCAATGATTCGAACAGTTCATAAACACATGAAGTAAAAATAAAATGTATGAGATGGGTCTTTAAGACTTGATGAGTAATGACCGATCAGGCAAAAGAAAAAAGGAATCTATCCTTGAATGAGGCATTTGGAACAAATTTATTGTGAAGGAGATAATAGCACAACAAAACAAGATAACATAAAGCCAAAAATTACGAAAAAATATCAAAGAGGATATAAAGCAAACTGGTAATTGTTTTCTTTTAATCAAGTTTAAAGATGTAAACTCACATTTCCTGTGTACTTTTGCTTTTTAGCTTTCTGCTTCTTTGATGATTTCTGTTTCAGTCTTTTGTCGTAATTCTCTCTAAAGGATCAAGTATAAAAAGCCATAAATAAAGGAACATAAATGAACAATTACAAAAAAACTGAATATTTATATAAAGACTGTAATACTGTAATCATGCATGCTTCACAAAAACAAAAATGATATAACAAATAACGTGATAGAAGGGTGTATACATGTTCGAACATTTGTTTATACTAGATCATAAAGTTCGTTATCCATGACATGGACACTTATAAAATCCCGTCCATGTTTGCCTCTTGAAAAATATATTTGTGGTCCATTATAAATGGCTGTGCATCTTGAGGTTCTCAAAGTACAACACTTACAAAATTCGAAATAACAAAATGTTCCTAAAAGATCGGTAAAAAAGGATATAGAGTTGAGAGTGCTTAAATAAAACATGAAGTTATTAGAAGCAAATTTATCTTATTTCGCTGAAATATGATAAATATATACCTTAGGTCCTGGTATTTCTTGATGTAATCCTGGAAATCACTGCAAAGCAAAACAATACATGAAATTTTAGGCACAAACAATTTTCTGTATGGCACTGTTTTTCCTTTCAAGTTTTTAGGCAATTGAAAAGCTATGCTTACAATTTGTGACCTAGCTTTTCTTCGTGATGTCAGTAAAACTAGTGATTCCTACGCCTGGAATTGCAGAGAGCTGGTGACTCTTGTCACTCTGAGGGGGGGTGGGGGGTGGGGCGAGGACACGAAACTCAGATCCTTGGATCTGTTGTCTGTGACCAAAACCACTGAGAACGCCCAAACAAAAACTTACAGTTTCGTGAAAATAACAGTTTCGAAAAGCCTACACTAAAAGTGGAATCCCCCATCTGTTACAACTAAAAATAAATCACCTTATTTCGGAGTTATCCTCGTCTTCAGTCGATTCCCATGTGCTTTGGTCATAAGGAAGCTCCTTCCAACGAACCAAATAGGAAACACGGCCTTTCTTCTCCCTGGAATAAAGAAAGTACTAAGTTTATGGAGAGGGGAAAGAGTTTTAAGTGTAAATTCGTAAATTGGAGCCCCTTTCTTTCAGTTAAATTCATTTCCAAGTACATACAATGGAAACTCTTACAGTAATTAAAAACAAATAGCAAATTCTTCACCTGCAGGTTAAATAAAATTCTAATAAAAAAAATAAAAATATATATATATATTGCAATTTTTGGCTGGCGATTCCCTTTGAAAATTCCTCAAATGGCTAGATGCCGAATTGCTCAATCTTAATTTAATGCATATAGAAACATTACTTGCACAACTTATACATAAACACAATACTAACTGTTCGATCTGATACAGGTCTCAATCAATACTTAGAAAATTCCCTTACTTTGAATTGGCAATGACTAAAAACTTTCGTTTTCTTTATTTGCAAAACATTCTGACTATATTATATTTCCTTTTGCAAATCTAAAACTTACTTATGCCAGAGTATTCGATTAATCTGCAGCCACTCAGGTTTGATGCCATATTTGTAGAACCTCTCTTCCAAATTATTCTTAGGTTCTGTAGTCTCTTCTTCAGATTCGTTTTCTTCGGTGCCATCTTCAGGGACAGGGGGATCATTCATGTCATTTCTTCGACAAAAAACCCGAAACAGTGGAGCATGATATTTTTCAAGCTGAGAAAAATAATTAAAAACTTTAAAAGAAAATACGATCTGGAAAACAAGAAATCAAAGAATTGAAAAGAAAAAATGGATTGCTCAGCTAAGTCCTAGTTCACATGATCAGTTGGTGGTGCATGATACATATTTCCACATGTGATCTTTCAGAACAGGTCTGTGGATATCAATCATCATCTCATGTGCTACCATAAACAAATTATAGGATGTAATCTTTAGATGAGTGAAGGACTGACGCCACTCCGCAGGGGCATTGGGTGAAATCTTTCCACTTAGGTTACCAAATGGAAAACGTACTTGGGTGTTGCCGTGCACATAAATAATGAATGCCAATGTAAATATATCATTAAATTTTTAGGCCCATTAACAAATATTTCAACAGCTAATGATAAAACAATACTCAAAGATAAAGATAAAATATACTCATGAAAGATGCTCACCTGGACCTCATCGATCCACCGACACTTCCAATAGGAAAGATTCTGGTACTTGACAAGGAACTTGCGTATCTGACATAAGCCTGGTTTAGCACCAGCTTTGATTTCTTCCTCTACAAAACAAGACCAAGGAATGGCATTACTCAAAAATGTGTATATTAATATCAAGCAGGAGATATTAAATCATTACATTTTTCATTAAAAAAGCTGTTTCGTTTCAGATTAGAAAGGTCTCTAAGTAGGAAATTCATTCTATAAACGACCTGTTTAATTACTGCAATAAGAAAAGCTTAGGGAATGTGTATGTGAAGTATACAATAAAGAGCACATGATCAGTTGGTGGTGCATGATAACTTTTCTACATTTCTTCTTTCAGTACAGGTCTGTGGATATCAATCATCATTTCATGTGCTCTATCTAATCTAAAGATATGTCTTGAATATCAGTTTTTACAAATACAATCATTAACATATTCAATTAGAAAGAGAGAATAACAGATTGTATGTTAAAACTTGGCTTACAAGAGCATTGGAGGTATTTCAGATGTATGGCATAAACTTAATACAAACTTTATTTATATTACACTTCTTCAAGACATTCAATTCAATCAAAATTTTAGGCATTCAATTCAATCAATATGCATGCATCTGACTGATGTCAAGTTCCTCCATTTCACTGCTCAGTGTAAAATACTACAAAGCTGTAAATAATATACACACCAGTTGGCTCATGCATCACAAATTTCCAAAAGAGTATTCTTTCAACCTTTTCCGGCAATGGATCAGCCTGGAAGAGAAATAAAATGAAACTAAATTAGCATTTCTGGCTGACTATTGAATCTAACTTAAATTTGGCAAACTTTGGATAGATTTTGTTGGACATTTAAAATGTGTTGAATCATAAATAATTCAAAACATACAGACAATGGTTTAAAGACCAAACAAAAAAAGAAACATTTTCTTGCATACAGGAAACATCTTAAACCTGCCATGAAAGGAATACCAAGTTTTTTCACATCTTCACCTGTATACAGATTTCCGTAATAATCATTTTGATAATTTAAGTATGAATCTTTACTTCAGAAAGAAGATGCAGCAAAATGGTCTATTTTTCTAGTGGTCTTGAGAACCTGCAACTTGCAAAGTCTAAAGGTGAATGAGAAACAGTTACAGAGCACATGATCAGTTGGTGGTGCATGATATCTTCTCTACACATGTATTTCAGTACAGGTCTGTGGATATCAATCATCATCTCATGTGCATAATTCATTCACCAGAAGTGATTGACTTTTCAACAGCGAACAGCAAAAAGAGAAATCAAATTTGCAAGCACCAGCCCTCTAGACTATGAAATTCTTACAAAAACTGTTAATTACCTTGCAATGTGGACATTTCCATTCACCTTCAGGAAGGCCAATAAGCTCTGGCTTCAAGCATTTCATGTGATACGTTCCTGGACAATAATCACAACATAATAATTCACCACCGTCTTTACAAACTTTGCAATATTCTCCATGCTCTTCTTCACTTTCCTCTTCATCTCCAAGATGATCTTCCTGGAGAAACAAAACAAGTTGATACTGTGCTAATTATGTCACAGCTAATGGCCTAAAAATACATTGTGGACAAAAAAGTAGCAAAACTTTAATAAAAGAATGCTTAAACAGAATAAAGGCTAAGAATCAAAATATGAAGCCTTTTCTCATTTTGCTGTCATTGCATACACATGTGTAGCCTGGATCATCTTGCAAGCATATAGGGCACATGGCCATCCCTCCACGGTCTGCAATGGGATGGGAGGCATGCAACAGTGCACAAGCATGCAAGATTTGTCACGACTAATGTTTCAATAGAAAAAACTTTATTGCTTTGTGTTAACAAATAAATTTGTTTTGCGCATCCCACGCTTATCACACAAGTTTTCAGTTGTGCATGTGATTTCTGAAAGTGAAAGCCCTACACTGGGTCATGGTCTGTAGCATTTGTGTCTTGCTGTTGAGTCTAATAAAGGATATGCACCAAATGACCACACTGGCCACAGCCATGGTAGAACGTAATGATAAGATTAAACAGAACAAAGGAATAATGAGCAAAATAAATAAAATTAAATTACGACTTCATACATTTTTACATAAATAATACAAGGGAGAAAAGATTCCTTGTTCCTAAGACCAATTTAAAAATTCAAGAAAATAGAGCAAGCAATATGATAAGTTGGCAGTGCAAAATGTTTACTTCCACCTTGTCTTATGTCCTGGCATTACACTCCAACAAAGTTCCAAACAGTTAAATTTTTGATTCTATTCTTCTATTCTTTTTTTAACTGTTACTCCTCCTATTCTTTCTACCCGGTGAAGAGTTATGCTCAAAATCTCAAACTAATATTTCATTTAAAAGTACAAAGTTGCTATTCTATTTTATTAATTTTTGTCCATTATTCATCTATGGCAGGCTGAACTACATTGAAGACCAAAGCAATGCCTGGAAATGTTTATCAATTACGATACTAATGGCAATCAAAGCTTGATCAGTTTATCCCTTGCTACTAAATTTACATCTGTTTATTACCATTTTGATTTCAATACAATTTCATCAATACCAAAGTCCTTTCGTGCTCAATATGATTAACTTTAGTTTATTGATAAATTTTCCATCAACCTACCTCACATTTTGGACAACTCCAGTCACCCTCTGGAGGCTCATCAAGTGGGGGGTCAAGGCATGTAAGATGGTATGACAAGGTACAGGTATCGCACAAGAGCAGTTCACCACCATCATCACAGGCTTCGCAATATGCCTGATGCTCAATCTGAAAAAAACCAGGAACTTTCTAATAATAACCAAAAAGGCGACACAAGACAGCCATCATGAGAAAAAATATGCAAAGACATGGAATTTCACATCCTTAGACAATGTATGCAAGATTTTAATCACAAAGCAACAGATCATTGTCATATCAGATCATATCATTCAATAGAGCAGATGGACACATGAATTAGGGCAGATGGACAGCTTTGCAATTGAAATTCTCAAAAAAGACCAATTAAAAAGTTCAAGGAAACAGAGCAACATGATCAGTTGGTGGTGCATGATATTTATTTCCACATGTGATCTTTCAGAACAGGTCTGTGGATATCAATCATCATTTCATGTTCTATGTAGCTTTTTCATAATTAACAACTTTATCACAATCAAATTCGCACAAAGTGCACAATTTAACCAGGAGGTTACAAAAGTTACAGAAATAAAACTGTCAAAACATATGGTTTTGTTTCAAAGTAAGAAATTGACTTTGAACAATAAAAACATAGTTTGTGCTCACCTTTGGAGACCCAACAGGATTTCCTGTGGATGCAAGAGATAAAGTTGATTAACAGTTGATAATTAAGTTGGGTACACAATAATCCTTTTCATCATCATAATCCTCACCATTATCATTTTCAGTGTCATTTCATGCATTTATTCAATCAAAATACTCAAACCAAAGATTAACTTAAAAATCAAGTAAGAGCAACATGATCAGTTGGTGGTGCATGATAATTCTTTCCACATGTGATCTTTCAGAACAGGTCTGTGGATATCAATCATCATCTCATGTGCTTTGTAGCTTCTTCCTTATAAACAACTGACCTTAACTGGAACATACTTGTCCGCTTGCAAACTTCATACTAATAACGAGGGAATACCTTTGTGGTATAGAACAATACAGTTTTCATATGATACCCTGACATTCATGCTTATTACAATCATAAAGCAACTGTCAAAACTACTCTTAAAATGGGTCCTTTCATGTCACTTGTTATTTCCTTGGTAAGGAGATATTAGGAATTTCAATGCACGAAGGTGTCAATAGTGGCCAAAAATGGATTTAATTACTGGTGATTGGACAATAGAATTTTATTCTGATGTTAGCATTTTGAAAAACATTTCAGATCTTTTGCTTGGATGGAGCCCTTACCAGAAATAATAATGGCAAAAAATAATGAAAAAATGAAGACTAACTAACCCTTTTCTTTCATTGCTTTTCTGGCCTTCTTCTTTTCAGCTCGAATCTTCTTACTTTGAGTAGTATCTTTAATTCTAGCTTGCCCAGTTTTTCTTTTATGGGGTCTTTTCTGTTTTGCTTTAAGTTCTGCCTCTTCAAATGATTGACTTTGCTCCTCTGATATCAAAGCTTGGTCAAGGTTAACATCATCAATATTTACAACTCCTTCCCTTTCAAGTCTTGTGGGTTGCCTTGAGCTCTTCCGTCCACCTTCCTGAAACACAATAATTCATATGCTCAAAAAACAGTCTCTCTGCCCAAGTCAGTAGCCCCGAATGTAGATTCCTTTTAAAAAGAACTAAAATCTTGTTTAAAGGACAAATGGTTTTAGGAGTTTCCTGTTATATAAAAAATTATTTAGTTTTTCTTTTGCCATTATTTTCAACGATAAAATGGCTTAAAGCAAGGCTTGAAGCAGAGAGACAAGATTCTACTAAACAGCCTTACTTAATATCACAATAGCAATCCAGGAAAGACAATTTTGTAGCAGTTAAGTATTTACTCATTTTAAAGTGCTGTTAATTTAAACTGTTTCTCTCAGCTTTACATTGCTACATTGCGTCATGCTTACTCAGCCTCTCTCGTTTCTCAATCTAGATCTTTCCATCTCCATTACATCACAAAACATCAACATTACATCGTACTCACACATCCTTCATCAGCAGATTTATTTTTAGAGTTAAGGTATAAATAATCGTAGAGTAAGTTAGTAAGCATCTTTAATTGAAGCAAAGAGAATTTGATTTTCTCTACGCATCTTCTCAACACATCAATGGGTGAGATCATGCATTCAAAACACATTTATTCATTAGCACGCACAGCAAAGGGGCTCAAAAAGGGAAAAAAGTAAACATAAAAGGTATATACCCAAAGATAATTTTAAAAAGATTTCTATTAAATGATCATGACAGATTCAAAAAAAATTTCCTAAGTAGATTTGTCCTTGATTGCCCAGCGTCCGGCATTACCAATGACTACCCTAATCAAATCATTTTGCAAAAAAATTCAGAAACCAAAGATTAATCTGAAAATCAAGTAAGAAGAGCAACATGATCAGTTGGTGGTGCATGATATATCTTTCCACATGTGATCTTTCAGAACAGGTCTGTGGATATCAATCATCATTTCATGTGCTTTGTAGCTTCTTCCTTATAAACAACTGACCATAACTGGAACATACTTGTCTGCTTGCAAATTTCATACTAATAACAAGGGAATACCTTTGTGGTACAGAACAATATAGTTTTCTTATGATACCCTGACTTCAATGCTTATTCCAATTATCAAGCAGTCGTCAAAACTACTCTTTCTAAGACGCGTAGAGAAAAGAGAGTTTTGTTTGCTTCAATTCAAGATGCTTACTAACTTACTCTACGATTATTCATACCTTAACTCTAAAAATAAATCTGCTGCCGAAGGATGTGTGAGTATGATGTAATGCTGATGTGATGGAGATGGAAATATCTAGATTGAGAAACGAGAGAGGCTGAGTTAGCATGACGCAATGTAGCAATGTAAAGCTGAGAGAAACGGTTTAAATTAACAGCACTTTAAAATGAGTAAATACTTTATTGCTACAATTTATTATATATACTATAAATGGAAGTTGCAAAACGCATAAAGACATTAAAAGCCTGAGTCCCTGCTTGAAAATAGGAAAATCAAGTGATGCCGAACTAATTTGTGAATATACCCTATATAGTTTTCCTCCTCTTTTTACAACTTTCATTTTTAAGGAGCCAGTGGTCTCTGGTGGAATAAAGTCATCTCCAAAATCATTGCTGTCATCCCAGCTCTCTTGGAGTGTTGAACTTTCTGGCGAGGCATCCTAAAATAAGTTTTTAATGGATTACAAAAAATAACACCAGCTACATGAAACATTGATAATTTTTCAACTATATACATATAAATATTCTTTAATATATAGGACCTTATCGCTATAAAAATCACTACCCATGTTTACATAGTGGCTGTGATTTACATTTGGATTGTGATTTTTCTAGTAGATAGCTGGTGTTATAATTTTCTAAGTAGACTAATCCAGCATTGATAAAAATTATGAGGCCCAACATTGTCAGTTTTCATCAAACTTAAGAAATAGTGCCCAAGAATATCATTATGACAAAATCTTTATCTTTATTTAAGACCAGTATGTGTAAGAAAAGGAATTGTTTCAACTCACAGCCAGCTCATCAGGCAAACTTTCCTGTTGTTCGTCCGTGACATTGTCAGAAACCTAAAAAGAATCAATATTTCTAAAATTTCATAAATTAAAAATTTTGAATTCTATGACAAAGGCATATATTTATGTCATGTGTATCAGTCAAAACCTCTTCAAGGCATTTTGAAGGCAGTCTGTCCCCTCAATGATTGGGTAATACGAACAATGGGTTTTCCTGCCTAAACTCATTACACTACACTGGCTTTGGTTGGCCTAGCTTCATAAGTGAACAGTATTTGAAATTGCCAGCAAAAAGCTATCAGAAATGTCAAGATTTAATTATTGGAACTGAATGATAATAATGGAAAAATTTCCTTTTGCTGTTGACATATCTGTCGCACAAACCAAAGAGAGAACAAATCTTTTCAATCACACCTTCACTACAACAAGAACACAGTCATTTGATTCTCAAGCGCTAGAATCAAAGTTTTCTCTGATTGGTTTAAATCATCTTATTATTGATCAAGACTGCTTTTAGGATTGAAAAATATAAAAAAAGCTATCTGTTTTCTATTTCTCAATGTTCACAAATATCGACCGATGAACATACATCGTCTTTTATTGACTCATCGTCTCTCTTTCTTTTCTTCTGCGAAGGACCATCGTTGGAACTTTTCTTCTTTTTTGACTTCCTCTTAACTTTCACTGGTTCAAATGAATCAGCACTATCTTCTGCAATCAATAAATTGAAATGAATACACAAGCACACCATGTAAAAACAGAATATTCAAGCAAAAGGGTTTTAAAACAAAAATGGAAATTATATATATATACTCAAAAGTACTTTCTTCATTTGAATAAGATGAATAACAAGTTACATACTGTTCATTGTTTTAATAAAATCCATTGTTTTTTCTTGTGCCTGATTTTTATTCATATTCTCAGCCCCACAGTTGATCCTTTTGAAAAAGTACTTGGTAAGTCTTACAACTGGAGACACGAAAAACATGAAACTGGAATTTGAAACTCAGATAACATTCTCGAAAACAGCATTTGAAAATGCTATTTTTGCTTTTCATGGCAACAGGTAAAAAAACATCTTTTGAAAATGCTAGCCTTATTTGATTTCAGCTCTTTTAACCATAATGATATGGGTCAAAGTAAAACTCACAGACAGCGCAGATTAATAAGCAGTTAATTTTTTGAATAAAAACTTAGGATTCAATATATTTAGCAAAGTTCAGTCTTTTGTTCAATGTGCATATAATGATGTGGAGAAAACATAAAATTGGAAAAAAATCATGTTAAATATGATAAATTTTAAAGAAATCGTTCAGTGTACTGTTTCCGCAGTACAAAAAACAAAAATTCGAGATCGTCTTAACGTATAAACAATAGCCAGTTTTGAGTCGAACCGTTACAACCCTGTTTACTAGGGCAGTATCCAGACAATAGAATTAACCCCCGTCTTTGAAATAAAAAACTGGCCTAAGAACACCGCTTCCAGCAAATTTCGCAAACTCGTCATTATCGAGTGGCTTCCTTTAGTTTTGGCTACACTTCAAATAACTATATGTTATTGAATGCTTGTCTTAATATAACGTCGAAGACACGAGCGCAAAACGTGATCATTGCTGCCAAAATCGAATATTTGAGCATGTGTTCGCTTTGAATGGTTGCGCGTGAAGCGAAGAATCGAAATGGCTCACGATCGGGTTTACGCGCGAAATTGAAACAACTTATTTAACAAGAATTGCCAAAACACCATAACACGAGTTTTACAAAGGTATAAAATGGTACTATTGACGTCATTAGACTTTTGAACTACACACAAAAAAATCAAAACCCTTGCGATGGCATCTAATAACATTTAAAACGGAGGACAGATGACAAATTTTGGGGGAGGTCTTTTGGGGAGCAGACAAAAACTAATGTGCCGAAGAAAGTAAACATTAAAAACTGAACTTGTACTGTAAAAGATCTAACATATATTACTGCAGCATCTTAAACTATCAGGAAACCATTTCCAATGATTAAACTTTATAGCTAATCGTACAAGATTTGGAGCTGATGTGAGGACAAATTTGGTGGGAAGGGAATGGCGGAAAATGGAAATTTAGGGCTTCGCAAGTACAGAAGTACAGTCATCAAAATGGTGATATTTAAATGGGAATACAAGATACAGGAATTATTTAAATGTTGTTATAATAGGCTATAGATCTAAAGTAATCAGTTACGTACACAAAATTGAAGAAAAACAAAAGATTTGGTGTTAGGATCGCCGATGATCAAATCAGCAAGGGAAACGAGCAACTTACTTACCGCTAAAATCAAAATCTTTGTAAAATCGTTCCTTCTTGTTCCCAGCAGGCATACTTATCCGGCTTCTCCACTCCCTTTCTCTTCTTGCTAAGTTTAACCTTGCTTAGTTTTATTTAAATGCAATTTCTAGTGCTTCATCGCTTTGAATCCTTTGCATTCATGCCTCCGTTCTCTGGATTGAAAGCCGTCAAGAGAATTTTAGAGCGGGGGTGATGCATAATAGATTCATACCCCCTGAATGTTTAGCAAGGAGAAAATTATTTTTGATCATTGATTTTTAAAAACTTCTTCTTTTAAAGGTTGTTAAAAAAGTGTTTAATAAAGCCGGTCTGAGCAACTTTGCTTTGTTATCATCTTTTGATTACCCATAAAGTCAAATAACTTATTATATGTATCTACAACGAATGCAACATTTAAATCATTAGCACCCGTGAAATAAATTCTCCTTTAAACTGTTGGCATCCCTGAAGATCAGCTGGAACAAAGAATTACGTCAGAATCACGTGGATTAAAGCTTAAATTTGAATTCATACATAAATTCATTCGTAATATTTCAGAAAAAAGTGAAAATATACCTTGATTATTACATCTTTAATCACGTTAACGAAAAACTACCATTTGTTGGCAGAATTTTTTGCTACCGTTGATAAGTTTCACGGGCAAATCCTGTAGTTTGTAGTGACACAGTGTTGCCCCGAAGGGGGCCTGAATTTTCACTTGTTTTCCGGCAATTGTGGGGGAAACACCCAAGGGCTCCGGTCAAAGCAAATAGTAACACTTTTTTTTATTCTTGCCAATCTTTTTTATCATTTTTGCATTAAAGCTTTTATGCTCTTTTCATATAATACACCAATGGTTGCTCTTTTCAAACAATGCACCAATGTGAATTTTGTTTCCTAAAATTAAGAAAGTGCGAACATCGTTTGAAGGAAGTTGTCTGTTGTTTTTTAATAGAGGTACGAGTATTAAAGTCCGTTAATTTTTCTCTTTTTCGTCTTTGATTCACTGTAGCGGTACATTTCCTCGAGTGCCTTGAGAAATAGACATTTATGATCCGACAGGCTTATGTAATTCTTCTTCAAGATTGCAGATATATATTAGAAATTAAGCGACACTAAGACATCACAAATTTGCAAAGACGACATTTTTGTAACTTGCGCCAATTTAATTTTACAGTGAGATGTCAATGCAAACGTCATTATTTCGAATTTTTTAATTTTGACCTAGTTTCGTGAAAGAGCGCTATGAAATTACTTCTATTGCAAACAACCAGATTAATGTTACAAATTGGTTGGCCACTTTATCACTGGCGATTTCCCTTAAAATCATTGTGATGTGGCTTCTCTTATCACTTTATGAACTAAGCCAAAAGAGCTACAAAGTCAGTTAGCAAACTTTGAACCTCTCATTGGCCCAATTTTTAGGATTTTTAACTGATTTTGAACTATTTGAGGTATTTCATTCTTTTAGATTATATGGTCCAAAAAGTCAAGAGTTTCAAAAATAAATTTTTATGACACTGTTACTGAAGGATTTTTGTACCCAAACACACTTTCAGGTACACTATGAAATAAACATTCAGAGAAAAGGGCCAAGTGCTTCAGAAGTCCCTCTGTAGAATTGTTTCTTAGTGTAATAAATAAGCCATGTTTTTTTGAATACAGCTTGAAGATATCACAGACTTAAGAAATTTTGTTATTCTTCTGCCATGTGAGCTAGTCAATAGCACTACCTTACAGAATTTTGGACATGGATATGTATCTGATGAGGTACCAGGGGGGGTGACCTGCCCCCACTTTTTGAAAACTTTTTTATAAAATTGTTATTTGGTCAGCAGGTACTTATAACTGGAACATTATGGTCACAAAGCTTTTGTCCATACAACACCCCTTTTCATAATCAGGGTTTTCAAAGTAGCCTACTGATCGGACAATTCGAAGTTGTCATTAATATTTGAAGCAGTTTTGACTACTGGATGCAACAACAAAGGAAGGGGGCATCCTACTTATGCAATATCAAAAAGACAGGGCAGTACTTGACTCCAAAAACTATATACAATGTGATGAGATTAACAATGATAGCATTGGTGGGATTTTGGCATACGGACCAAAGTTTGCGGCAAATGGCAGAGCCTGTCTTATGTTAGTATGCAGTGAACAGATAAAAATACAATTGTAGACCAATAACTCTTTGATAAGAAAGTTTCATCTTGACTGCAGAATGAATTTAGTTTTAATTTAACAAAGGAAGGGCTACAAAATTAATCTTCAAATCAAAGTGAATTTTTGTAGTCCATATTATGAGCCAGTTGACAATAAGGCAACAAGACCAGCAGCCACACCAGTTGAAACTGTGAAGTTGACTGTAGGCCCAAATGTCTTCAGCAAGTAGAAGGATGCAAGAATCACCAAAAAGATGTACAGCACATTGTTGTAAAAAATTGCAAAGGTTGTGGCTTCTGTGTCTGAAACTGTGTTTTTCTTCCAAAGGATTCTGAAAAGCATAAATATAGCAATGAATCGTGCATCCGATTAAGAGCAGACAAAATAAGGTCCCATTTTTGAGTGATCTGTCTACTTTTTGGTTGCTTATTTGTCACATTGCTTTTGCTGGTGACATGTTATACCTCATGTTCAAGATGAGATAATATTTTATAGGTAGGGGCACATTCAGACACTGTGTGTCACAGAAGGGATTGAAAATGTAACAATTTCTGTGACAGATATTACAAGAACTTTGACAAGAACTGTGCCTTTTACAAGAGCACTGCTCTGCCCCATAACCTAATTTTGCAGCTGTCAGGGTATGCATTTAACTGTGAAAACAGTTACATTTCTATCTTAAACAAAGACGAGCCCACAAGACATTCAAATATTAAAATATAAAAGTTACCTGTCATCTTTCTCTTTCCTTGAAAGCTTCTTTGTTTCTGGTTTTGAATCTAGCTCATTGTTGACCTCTTTTGCAATTGCATTTTCCCTTTTCTGGGCTATCCTGAAAATCATAAATAGTTGTGATGTAATGAAAACAAGAACAAAAGAATGAGAAAACATAGAGAGCTTTGAGTGAAGTTATATGATAGGACTCTGCTTCTGTAAGTGTTTACAAGACTTCAGGTTGACATTCACCCCATTTGCTTCCATTTTTCTCGAAACAAAGGTGCTAAGTGAATAAAACTTGCAACAGATTAAAAATCGGGGATCATGGTAAAAACAAACGCCTGTCACTCTTTTAGTTTAAAAGTCTCTTAAAATGGAGAGAAACATTAAACAAAAGGAGTAAAGTGGAACTACTCTGGAAAAGTGCACTGCCAACCAAAAAAATGTTTGCCTAACATATCAACAAGAAATTTCCTGGTTCTTTTCAATATTCTGTGCAACTGAAAATGTTGCATCAACGGACAAAAAATGAACTTACTTGTGCTTCATTGTAAACTTGGTGTTCTTGTATGCAAATGCTACTAAATATGTTGCTAATAGAGTCCCAACAACAAACAGTGGAGCATATGTATATGGATCCATCAAGTGAATCTTCCAGAAAAGCCCTTTAAAAAAATTAAGAAGGCATGTCATACTAAACAGCTGTAAAATGCTTAAATCTAAGAACAAATTGTACCCTTTACCAATTAATTCACAACTGTTTTCTAATCAATTTACAGCAAGGTCTGACTGTAGTTCAGATTTGTTATTGTACACAAAGCATTTCTAAAGGACTCCTTAACAAAACACCTTGCACCCAACTGTACTAATGGTTTTAACAATGATAATAAGAAACAATATCACTCGCTTGTTGGTAACCTCTTTTATCATCAAATAAAATATAAATATTACAAGCAAGGCATGATGATTAACTTATATTACAAAGATTTTGATTACGCTCGATCTACTGAAAACCAATTCTAAGTGATAGTGCTCTCTCCTTTTTTGGTCTACCAATTTGGAGTTTTCTACTTGAGAGATTCTTTCAGTAGTTGTTCATCTTCAAACACTTTCATTGCAATTTTCCTTAATCTGTTTATGTAGCTGATTAAAGGTAACGAAATATACAGCTAAAACCGAAATATACCTTCGTACCAAAACATAACAACCCAGACACTTACTAGAACATTAGAGCCTGACCATAAATTAAATCTACTATATAATAACACAGAAAAAGACAGATTTTCTGGCTTATATATACACCTTTGATAAACTAGGCCTAAACATTTGGCTATTTTCAGTTCGCAAAATGTCTATAGACTGCCAGGATACTTACATAATGGCAGGATAGTGATCATCAACGCATTCAAATAGAACAGAGCTTGCGACTTCTTCGTAACAGTACGGCTGAAGTCCTGTAGAAGGATTTCTTCTTCTTGCGTGAGTTTCTTTCCACCAGCCATTTTGATTCTGAAGCCCAAGGGAAACAATGTAAAGTCGCGTGTACTTTTCGTTTAAAAGATAGAGCCCAGATCCCAAGCCTCCGCAGCACCAGTAGAGGATTTTATTTGTGACGTGTGCCTTTTTGTGAGTGATTTTTGCTCACCAACACCAAGGGGTGCCGTCCAAAAAAGTTAAAAAGGGCGGCTGTGCTGTAGGCAAATTTTAAAGGCTACACCCTCAAAACACCCAATATTCTTGCATTTGTGTTAAAGTCTTTCCGTTGTGTGCAAGACTGATAAGAAATTGCTTACTTCATTTTCTTGATCACCTTTTAACTAAAACAAACAAAGCACATGATATAGTTTCAGCATTATTGCTTCAAAGCTTCTATTATTTTCACGTTCTGTCAGCTGTTTAATTTCTTTTGAACTAGCGCAGTCCTAAAAAGACCACAATTCCACAATTTTAACTTCCAAAGAGGCAAAGAAGCAGGTTACCAAAATGAACAAGCTTCTGGTAGTTTATTGATTCGTTTTTGTTTAAATGACGACCAACCGTGCAAGCATTGTGGGCATCTCTCTGCTGTGTAACTCAGCCAACGTAGTTATTATTTGGCGATGGTGCCCTATATACAGCATCCTAGACAACCAAATGCATTTTGGGCGTAGACTGATTCACGTGGTTTGTACTGTGTGCGCGGATCAGTCACTTGAAAATAGAACGGGAAATCACAGCCCAAAGTCAAGACAACTGGTTAACCGTCTTACACCCCTTCTTTTGCAAGATTCTGAAGTACGCTAAATACTGTTGAAGATAGTGGAAAACCACGGCTAAAATGAGAACAGAATTAATACTTTTTGATAAACGTCGTTTCGTATCAAAATATACTGAGGGAAACATTGACGTAGCTTGACCTACCAAGTGACTTAACCTAGATGCCAGAGCCTCCATTATTTAGTCTCAGAAAGATAGTTAGAAACTAGTTGCAGAACAAATTTTGAGGGAATGGAGGGTCTTCAATAATTGAATTTATCAACGAAGACAATATTGAATTTATTAACGATGAAGAAATATAAAGATACCATTTCACCTACCGATTGACGATTTAACGACAAACTAAGGATTCGTGGACGAACTGAAGATTTGCCTAGCAACTCATGAAGAACTTTGGGTGTCACATCCCTTTTCACCCCTTCTAGCTACAACCCTGGAAAAAGAAATCATCAAACAGAGAGTCCTTTGTTACGTTGCTAATTCAGCTAGATTTCTACGTATCTTTAAAACAGTCTTCAGTTCGTCAAGCTTGTTTGCGATGATCGGGGATAATCGTTGATGTTTCGCCGTGGTCCAGTTTTCATTTTTTATGAGTCAGCAGAGACATTCATAGACCATTGTGAACAAAGGCGGATTTAGAGATTAAGCACTCACCGAAATTGGTGCCCCTTTTCAATAATGACCCGTTCTATTAACGTTGAGCTGCTGACCAGATTACCACGTAGCGGGTGGCGGAATGAGCAACCCCCAACTTTTTCCGGGTAAAAGTTTCTTCACATTATTGATAAGCCAAGCAGCTTTCCAATGACAGAGCTCTCCCCCGTTGCATGCTCCTTCCTTCCCTGGGTACCAGAGGCAATGAATTTTTGAGCGAAGAAATAGGAGATAGGAGCGGAGAAGTGGAGGAGCGGAGAAGCGGAGGAGCGGAGAAGTGGAGGAGCGGTGAAGTGGAGGAGCGGAGAAGCGAAGGAGCGGAGAAGCGAAGGAGCGGAGAAGTGGAGGAGCGGAGAAGTGGAATAGCGGTGAAGTGGAGGAGCGGAGAAGTGGAGGAGCGGAGAGAAGGAGGAGCGGAGAAGAGGAGGAGCGGTGAAGTGGAGGAGCGGAGAAGTGGAGGAGCGGAGAAGTGGAGGAGCAGAGAAGCGGAGGAGCGGAGAAGTGGAGTAGCGGTGAAGTGGAAGAGCGGAGAAGTGGAGGAGCGGACAGGTGGAGGAGCGGAAAAGTGGAGGAGCGGAGAAGTGGAGGAGCGGAAGAGCGTCTGTCTGAGAAGAAGGTAAAGAAAGTCTATGGATAGACGCTCCTCTGCATCTCCGCTCCTATCTTCTATTATATATCGTGCGCGAATATACGCGGCTCTGGTACCCAGGGTTGTTCTTTCCACCAATTATGAAAATACTGTACAAACTAAGCCAAGCTTGGGAAACATGATTACGGTCTACAAAATGCCTATTATCTGCTATTTTCAAAAGTTAAGTGTATCAAAGTATTTCCAGTTTTTTATCATCCAAAAAACATTGTCTACACTTTATTCTTTCTGGCAATTTAAATTAAAAACAAATGATTTTCCAATGATTGATGCTTTTGCAAAAAGTTGGGGCCATGACCCTAAAATCCATTCACCTTCCCATCGGATGCCCTTTGCAGTGGATAGCCCAAGCTTGTTAATGTCATAGGGAAATGTAACGACAAAGCAATTCGATAGAGGTCCTCGAATCCATCATTATTGGCTGCTATTTCATCCTTTCTTGAGAGCTTTCTTATGATGAATAGGTATAAGTTTTATCGACCATTTTCGGAATCCCTGATGCCCTGAGCACGTGATTGGTACATTCACGTACATTCACGAGCATATTCAAGTACAACCTTTATGGGATCCTAGCTTTGGCAAGAGCTTACAAATGACTTTAAAACATCTTCTAGCCTCGCAATATTTAAGAAAAAGATTAAAACTTGAAAAGATACAAAATGCAACTGCAGACTATGCAAACCTTACGTTGCGCAGATTGGATTCTTGAAATAGTCATCGAATAATTGTATATTTTTATCGAATTAGTCATTCTTTTTTGTTCATTTCCTATATCATTTTATCCATTCATTGTAATTAATTTAAGATTTGTAAATGTAGTATAAATAGTAGCTTTAATTTTGTATAAATATAGTATAAAATATATAAAATATATACATTATATTTGTATAAATGTAGTATAAATAAATAGCTTTAATTAGCTGTTATATTAGCTAAAAAAATTTTGCTTCGCCTACTGTAAATAATTTTATATTAACAATAATAATAATGGTCTGCATTAGAGCTCATCCAGCCCTGATCGGGAACCTGCATCAGTAATCCTCGATGAATACCAAGAAAGTAGCTAAAAAAACATTAAGAAATACAACTCTTTTCCAAGGGGTTTTGTTTGCATCGCTCTCCCCCAAGAACTCCCCAATCTTACTTTAAAGAAACTTTTTACATTCGATTCTTTTGAAATCATCTTGTAGACCAAATTTTCTCAGATGACAACCTTCTTATTGCCTCCATCAAAAAAAATAGTTATGATAAGTTTTCAAACATGAAAACAACGTAAAGTTGAATCAATTGTTTTCATTTTCCGGATGACATCCCTGCTTCTCTATGTACAACTCTCTTTTGTCTATCAGCTAAATACAATTGGTGAAAAGAAGAAGGATGAAGCTTAATCTAGTCTATTAGATTATAAAATAGAGTGTGATTTTGTTTATGATGAGGCTTATGCCTTGAAGCAACACTACACAGGCAGGCTAAAAAGATCTACCAACTTTCATCAAAATTACGGCATTCCTTTATTTGAACTTAGTTGTTAGGATTGGTTGACGTTCAGCACTTGAACTAACTTGTAAAATGACAAAATCAGAATGACACAAGAAAACAAATGAATTTTAAATATAACTTGCATTCATCCACACATATCTTAGATTGCAATTATAAAACCATTAAAAGCACGAACAGAAAAATTAATTTCAATCAAAACGATCGTTTAAATAAGTGAAACACAATTGTTGGTATTGTTGCTGTTGTGAAAATGTATTTCATTAATCAGAAAAGGGTCTGATTGGAATGTTTCGTTTCTAGATTTTAAGACGCTCAAAGTTTCAATTTGAAGGCTCGTCGACTTTTGATCCATGCTGATCTGAAGAATCCAACAACAGCTTGTGCAACAACCTTGTACCTCTGTCGTGCCGATTTTTGCTTCAGTTCAAATTTGCTCTTCGATTCATCCATTTCATCAACGACGTACTGTCTCCCATGATCATCCCAAATTCTTGATCGCACCTCGTCCTCGATTTCTACCTCTGATAGATAATCAAATTCTTCTCTGAATGACGATAGCCTCGAACCCATTACTGAAAACGAGTCTTCAAATTCCATCTGTGTTACAATCGTCAAGTCGAGATCAGTCTCTTCTTCATCTTCAAATTCTGAGTTTGTTTCGCATTCGTCGTTATAATCCAAATCTGATATTGCGATTGACTCGAAACTTGATCCCTGATCCACTGATCCTGATCAGTGGATCTGATCCACAATCGGATTCTACATCAGGAAAATCGATGGAAGAGCATTCTGATTCGAAATCCGATAGTACAGAGACGATTGTCAAATCTAATTCTGGATCTGGGAAAAATCAGAGGCAGATTCGAATTCATAAGAATCTTTATTAATCTGTCCTTGGTTGATCATGGTTACGTCGTGGACCAGTGAATCGGATGTTACAGCATTGGTGGCTGAAAATATGTTGTAGCTTTTCGGCACCTGAAAAAAAATGAAAATCATAATCAGAATCAATTCAGTTTCTGTCTGCTTCTTCATTTAGAATAAGGATTCAATTACCAGGATGTGTGCAAAATACATAAAAACAAGCTATACTTTAAAGTAAAATAATTCATAAAAGAGTGCAGAAGTAAGTAATTGAGAATAAGAAATGAAAATATAAGCTTGCAGAAAACAAAATTTGACAAGAATAGGTTGAAATAATCACTAACCATCTTTGTCTGGCATCCTCTTGGTGTCGATGTTGCAAATGGTTGGGAAATATCGAGACAAGGCTTGATATCTGAAAGGAAAGATTTGAAAGCTACTTTTAAAAGAATTTACTAGGCGTGAAAGCACTTTTATCAATTGATTAGAATTACAAAGATGTCAGGCCTTGTTAACCATTCTTTATACATCTTCCTTTAAATGATTTTGAGTTAGCGTAAATAACAAAGCGAGATTACAAACGCGTGAGTACTCGTCAGTACAGTGATCACA